CGCAGAATAGCCAGCCGGCATGCCGACAGCGCCGAGATCCATCTGGGCGGTTTGTGGGTCGGCAAGACCAGGGATTTGAGGAAGATTTGTGGGAGCCACATCACGGAAGCCATTGGACTTCCACAGTTTGTGGAGAAGTACGCCTACTTGACCTCCGTGTAGCCCGAAAATCCGCGAAGAACTGGACATGCCGGGGAAACACTCACAAAAACGATGCAGATGGCCAGACATGCTGAATGCGGCTTCTGCATGCCACCTGCTGAACGTCAAGCGGCAAATTCGCCAATGCACCCACGTTCTGATGTAGCGTCCAAAAAGGCCATTTGGCGAAAAGGAGGACGGTTTCTGGAAAGTGCTTCGGAGCCACTTCACGGATCCTCCACGCGTGGGTTCTAGATAGCCAGGACGCCGCAAGTGCCGCGCTGCCACCAAGTATATATCACGTCTTGCACTGGGGAATGAAATTGTGGCATAGGCTGCAGCATACCGCATCTGAAGTCGTGGGGAACGGGATATCTATATTCCTACAGGTGTCAAGCTTTAAGGGGCTTTCCACCTTTGAAAGAGTTTTTGGGTTTGCCACCCGTCATTTCTTCAGTTCACTGAAGCATTTGATTGAAAGTGCAACATCTCCTAAGCTGCGTGTATTTGGGAAAACAGTGACCGATTTGAGGATCCAGTTGTGGTTCCGCCACTCGTCGAACTCCTCAGGGGCATTGGCCCATCACATCCTTGTGTGGCCTCGGTTTCGGCCAAATATCTTCCAGTAGAGTTTGGATGCTCTGGACACACATCACCCTTTTGGGCTTGGGTTTGCTAGTCACCATATATCTTTATTGGATAAATGTCGCCCGTGATATGTGCCAAAGTTTTCAGACTCTGGCCTTCTTTTTTCCGGTGTCCCTATTGTGATTTGCAGTTCTGGCAGGGAGCCATACCTTTTAGGGATTGGCTTACGGTGTAATTGGGCATGTTTTTCAGTCGTTCTATTTGAGACCTCTTGTTCGCGATCATTCACCCAATTACGATTAAATTACATATCACCGTGATGCACGGAAAGTCGTGTGTGTATGTATGTATGAATGTATGTATGTAAACTCATCCGCCCATGATACCCTTCCAAGGTTCCAGTTTAGATGGAAAGTGTAACTGCATTAGGCTCCCCGGTTACATACACAGGTACTCGCATGTACATCACATAATATTCCTCGACATACACATATATATATATATATAAAGACATGTACTTATACATATATATCTGTGTGTATGTATGCATGGGCTTCCAAAGTGTACGAACTTGCATACGTATGGTACAGGTATGCATGAGCTTCCACACTGTAACTGCATTAGGCTCCCCGGCTACATACACAGGTACTCGCATGTACATCACATAATATTCCTCGACATACATATATATATATAAAGACATGTACTTATACATATATATATCTGTGTGTATGTATGCATGGGCTTCCAAAGTGCACGAACTTGCATACGTATGGTACAGGTATGCATGAGCTTCCACAGTGCATCGTGTGTTTCTGTCTAAACGTATATTTGTGTGTGTAGCTGTATATATGTACAGGTATGGAGGCCGTGCTTACGCACAGACTTGATATTCGCCATCCTTCACCCACCATGCCGCTGCGGGATTTGGGATAGGAGCCTGAGGCCGTCCATTTTCTTGTTTGAGCCTGTAGCTGCCTAAATGCCTACTCGTTGCATATAAATGGGTTTGCATGTGTATTGCGGAAACAATGCACATGTTTCCGTGATACATATATATGTATGTACCCATGTATGTATATATAGAATACATATATGTATGTGTTTATAAGCTTTGGAAAGGCATGAGCATGTGTGTATGTTGACATACACATCCATATGTAGGTGTGTATGTATGTCTGCATGTATATATCAAATCTACGCACATACATCAACATGTATATACACATATATATATATGTAGGTATAAACTAACATCTGTCTACCAAGTTTGGCTTGTAGGTAAGTATCTATGTTCCACCCCAAATGTCACAAGTATGTTGTGGCTCGCAACTTATCTTTCATTGTCCGAGCTTGCGGATGAGGGCCCAACATTTTGTACGATGTTTTGGAATGTTGGAAGCCAATCACGACTCTCAGTGTCGGGTTGTGGGTTCGCCACCCATCATCTTCTTAGACGGTTTGGACCATCATAATTGGGGGTGTAGAGACCAGGTCACCATGAGTCGCGGTACAAGGACGTCATTCCCATTTTTTAACGTGTAGAATGATAGAATGTATTACCCATCATACTTTTATCATGTATAAGTGTCATCCGTAAGTAATGTCACCGTTTTCAGGTGTGGGAGCCGCTTTCCCAGTTGTTCATGGAGGGATGTTTCATTTGATAGGACAGGATTGGTGGCACACTGGAAAGCTTGAGATGATCGCGTAGTGCGGGAACTGGAATGCCAAAGGCCGAAGGCCCCAGACATACCCTGCTTACCTCCGGATCTCCGTCCATAAGGTCCTGCCTGCGGGGGGGGGGGGGGCGCAAAAACAAAAAATTACCAGAGAGCAGCCCACCAATTTTTTTTTTTTTTTCCCCCCCCCCCCCCCCCCCCCGAGGCCTCCAGGCCTCCGTGCCCACAGCCACACCTTAAGGCCGTGCCCTTATGCCCTCCACCTTCGGGATCTCTTTTGAACGATTGTCCTGTACTTTATCTCTCGGACAAGTATTCGGTCAGGTCATGTCAATGGTTTCGTGGAAACTCAAAGTAACAATTCACAACACGTCGTATTTGTATGCATCAAAAACAATGTGGTTGGAAGTGAAAAGCTTGCTAAGCTTGCCATCTGCGAACGCAGGTGAAAACATGAACACACGAAAATACACGCCGCCAGGGCGTACCATACTGTTGCATTAACCTTTTGTAAATGCTCAAAGGGTGAATCTGTCCCCTCATAGGGGTTGCCGATGGTTTCCGGTCTGGTTTCCGATGGTTTCCTGTGGTTTCCTATGGGTTTCCCATGGGTTTCCTGCGGTTTCCGCCAGGTTTCCGAGCGTTTTCCACACCTTTGTTGTGGTCTGCTTTGGTTTCCCATGAATTCTAGATAGATATGCTCCTCAAAAGTACATCTGTTCCCTTTTAAGGGTTTCTGAAGGTTTCCGGTCTGGTTCCGATGGTTTCCTGGGGTTTCCTATGGGTTTCCTACAGATTTTCCTATGGGTTTCCTACAGATTTCCTGCGACGCCGGATCTTGGCAATGCTTGCAATGGCTCGTGTAGTCATGACTGCGTTCGGAGCAGGCCAAGACATAATCGACATTTCTGAAGCAGGCGGCGAGGTTCAGACTCTGTAGTGCTTCCAACAAGCCCACTTCTGGGTTCGGAAATTGTCAGGATTGTGGTGGCCGTTGTGAAGGGGCCTCCAGAGTGCCGGGAGATCTTCTTTAGTTTGTTGATTTTCATAGCTCAGCTACACCATATCGGTGCTGTCGTTGCCTCAGAATCTGCAGCAGATCAAGATGCTCAAGCTGTAGTCGCTGTTGTGGCTGCTTAAGCAAGAGGAGAAGTTGTGACTTTCACAACACGTGTTGGCGGCCGTTCTTTGAAGTTCTGTGTGAATTGAGAACTCAATAAACGGGCAAAGTTCCGGGTAAAGAGCGGGGCCAAAAACGGGTCCAGAATTCGGACCCGTTTTTGGAGCCATCTAATATTGGCACAATTCCCGCAGGTTCAGAAAACGGCCCCATTTTGGGGGCCATTTGTTCGCGGGGAACCACTTTCGAGCTCGTTGTCGGAACCGCAAAAATCTGGACGCGGATCAAGGAATACCGTTCAATTTTCCCAGTTGGTCAGCAAGATGCAGCTGGATAACTCCAAAATGTAGCACCCAGTCACTGCTTGTCTTGAACACATCTTCGGCTCAAAAAATCAAATTGCGGCATGTGTTTTTGCCAAGTGCGGGATTCGCTGCAGGATGCTGCAGCAACAGTACATCAGATTTGTTAATTGCATCAGAGTTGTTTATCTTTGTTTTTTGGCGTTTGTTTTTGGGCTCGCCTTTCGATGATTTGACAAGCTGACATGCGTTACAACCAGCTGGGGACCCTAGAGTGTTCGAGTGCCCGGGCAGAACAAGGCGTCCAAAACACGGAGGATGGTGAGCTGCAAATTTGCGAAGCCAGACAAACATGTACTTGTCAAAGCGGTTTGCTTCGCAGTTGTTTTCCAGTCAACAGCATGTTGATTTTCTACGGATTGCTTTCCGACTGAATTCCTCGGTATCTTTGCTGTCCGACAACATTTTTCCAGCTTTGCAAGCCAATGACAAGAATATGCTTTTTGCAAGAGGATACGGCCAGGGCCGACGATAACACCTATGTTGGTCTTGTGGGTGGGTTTTCCGACCCTTGGAAAGGCCATGCTGTGTGAAAGTTATTTCACGGTCGGCACAACGTGGGACCATCCGGGCCGTTGGCAGATGACAAGCCTTGCAGTACGTCGTACCAAAATCCAAAGAATTGGCACAGACGTCTCTCATTTCTCGTTTTGCACAAGATTCAAAATTCATCAATTCCGTGCTGCTTTACACGGTACATGCACGCACGGACAGCTAAGAAAATGATAGTAGCATCAGTACTTGGCTGAGTCACACTTCAGTAGTCCGGACGTCCACCCAAAGCTCACTCAGATTGGGTTTCCCCGAAATGCGACTGTTGCACGGGCTCCCTGTTCTGTATCTAGCATGGCGCACCTTCGCGTCGCGGGTCTTGTCTTGTTCATCAATGTCGCGATTGGTGATGAGTTCAAACGCTTGCACATCGCAGTTTTCGGCTGGGGCACCCCGGCGGAGGTTATTTAGAGCTGCGGGTTGTGTACAGCCTGCCATGCTATGACCAGGCACTTGGTTGCGATCTGTTTCCTGTGTTTGGCAACGCACGTTCTTTCAAACTTGCAGAATGGAAGTAGCTGGGCGTATGGCTGTGTTGCAGGCACGTTGTTGCCGATGCGGCTCTTGGCCGCTGAGGCACAAAAGTTCCGGGGTCGAACGTCCACGTGTGTTGTGCCGTGTGGATTTAACACGATAGGTCAACTGCGTGTTACTGTTTGCGCATGGAGCTTTCCTTCGATCTCACTAAAAGGTGACGTTTGCATCGTCGTTTGTTTTTGGCTTGGTTCTTCACAAGATACCAGGTGTGAAAGTGCCCTCATTCGCGCAGGCAGTGAACCTGGAGGCGGCACTTGCCACTTGCTTGAAATCAGTTGCACAGCTGTCAGTGGAACATGATATGTTCGACACCAGCAGTGGGCTGGGCGAATGGCACCTTAATAATGATTATGCATGCAACTGGTATTTTGGGCGAAGCTGTAAGGCCGGTGCTTCAGTTGTCGTCCAGGAGTGGGATTGGTCAAGGCAGGACGTGCAGGGTGACACCCCATCGTCGGTAAAGCCTAACTGTCTGTGCATGTCATGGAAGAAATACGAGGTCGTCTTTCGAAAGCTTCACTAAACCGCGCAATGATGGGAAAATGGGAAGACTGCATCTCATTGACAGTCATACTACTTGTGTGCCAGACAGCCGTTGTCCACAGCGAATTGAGCGCGGAAAGCGATTCTTTGAGACCATGTGGTTGCGGAGGTTTGTTTGGAATCATTCGCTTTGGGTTTGTTGTGAAGTGGTTGACCTCCGTGCGACGGCAGGTTTGCAGTGCTCGATGTGTTCCAAGCAGCGCCCAGAAATGGTGGGCAGGTCGAGTTGCTTCAGGCCATTCATGGTGCATCCTAGTACAGGTGTGATGAGCCTGGCGAACCTTTTCATGGCCTTGTTTGTCAGGACACACAGTCGAAGGAGCTGTTGGTGGTGCGGCTTTCATGTTTTCCCTCAGCCACCATTGTGACATCACTGGATGCCATGTTTGCGATTTGTGTCGCTTGTGCCGACTGAGCCTGAATCGTGTGCCAGGCCAAGGTCATGCCGCTCTGTTGGACCTGCCATATCCTCTGTCTTGCCTCTTGCAGAAAATGTGAGGACTGGACCTGCATCTGGTGCAAAGGTGGAGACCACGAGAAGTTTGTCGAGATGTACCCGGAAGAAACCGAGATGCCCTGGCGTGCCGTTCTCTTATCTCCGGAATTTCAGCCGTCTGCGTCTAAAGTCCATTTGCTGTTTGTTGGTCCCGAGATGGCCAAGCAGATGTGCGTTTGTTCAATTGCGTGCCTTGTTGGCACCATGCTCGTTGTGGCACTGAGGATGTATGCGTCACACAATACCTGGACCAGAGACTTGGTGCGAGACTGAAGTAAGACAGTCGAACAGCTTGATCACATTGGAGGCTTGGCCTCCAAATACTGTGGCAACTGTCGTGGGAACACTTGTGATTGGGTTGGTGCTTGCTCAAACCCAGATTTTGCATGCATACGCTCCCTGGCTGCTTTGCCTCCTCGCCGAGGTGAGCCGCACGTCTGCAAGTTTTTCGGCATCTTCCGAATCTTGGTTGTCTTACAACCTCCTGCAATAGGCTTTACGAATGACGCCAGTGTTGTCTGGCTTTCATATTCAAAAAGTTCAAGACCGTGGAATTCTCGCTTCGTGCTGCTTTGAAGATGTCGTCTTCCAGAGACGTGTGCCTGGAAAGCCAAGGAAGATCATCTAAAGGACAAGATGCAGGCAGCAGCTCAGACACGAATGCTTGCAAGCAGTCCAAGAGTTGTGGCTTCGTCTCGGGAAGCTTTTGAAATCAAGTATTTCTCTTCATGAGTTTCAGAAAGGGTGGTGATCGCGATGCCATGGATCTTCTTGGGTCGAGAGTCGAAACCTCGTGGTCATGTCGACGAACTCGTGCGTTCAGGTGGTGGTGGGCCTTGCGATGCCCCGCAGGACAGCAGCGGCGCGTTTTGTCTGCAATTGTCCATCTGAGGCACATCGACCGCTTGTTCCTGAATCATGACTGTCAGTCAAGCAAGTGCAGCTTCAGAAACGGCGTTCTTGTTGTTACCAGCCCGTGGAATTCAATAGGATTGTTTGGAGGCGCAGGGGCGCTGTTCCTGTTGAGCTCACCTTTTCGAGGAACATGCGGAGGAGGGCGAGCACTGCCTGGTGCTGTCCTACTGCCGCGGTGGAGATCTTTTCACCTGGCTGGAGAGGTGCGCTCCCAATGATGAGCCCCGGCTACCCAGCTCGAATGCAACTATTTGCATCGCTTTGAAAGCAATGTCATAGACGCAGCAAGAGTGATAGAGGTGCCAGAGCGGCTGTGCAGGGCGAACATGGACAAACGTCTTCTTGACGCGTCCAGTTTCACTTCTGTCTGACTCCAGAAGAAACGCCGAGGGCGGAGAGGGAAGGAAGTGTGCATGTCGACCAGACTGACATGTTCGGCGCGAGGAGTCGGTCCATAGATGTTGTGGCGAGCCGGGAGCAACTGGCCCGTCCCTTGATCCATGAAACCCTGAGGGTCTGGAGCTCGGTTCGCATGAGATTCGCATCAGTGGCTCTCTCTCTCTCTCTCTCTCTCTGTGTCTCCCTGTCTCTATGTCTCTCTGTGTTGACGCCACTCTGTCTCTCTGTCATTCTCTCACTCTCCCAACCACCGCCGCATGGTTTTGACTCCCTGTGTGACGAGGCTGCCTCCAGCGTTCACCGCCTTGGGGTGTCGCATGGTGATCTCAGTTACTCGCACGCATTCCGCATAACGCAAGAAAATCGTGGAGAGACAGGCGTCGGCAAGAATGGGTTTCCAACTGTCAGTCCTCTCACTTCTCAGAGCCTGCGGAAGAACACGCCAGATGTTAGGCTTGGAAAACATTCTGCTTTTCTCGGAGAAGGCAGGCTCGAGCAATTGGTTGTGCAGTTCCTGAGGGGGAGAGACCGTGTCCGCGAATTTGGCGGGATTCGATCACTTAACCGAGAGCGAGAGCTATGCTGGCCAGTCCGTAGTTGTAGCATGCCTGTGTCCAGGCACAGCTCCCTCCGGACATTCGCCTAGTGGACTTTGCCTGCGCATGCGGGCCTCGTGCCTGTGGACCGCGGGGGAAGAGTCCCTACCAAGCCCCAGAGGTGCCTGCAATTGGTTTTTGCAGCAGCTCCCAGCAACCTGTGGAACAATGCCGGGACGAATTGGCTTCTAGAAGTTCCAAATGTGTTCGTTGCTGCCAGATGCACTGTTCCGACGGCTACTGCACCGTGGCTGCTGATGTGTTTGCGTTGGGTCTGTGTCTCAGAACATGCCAGTTTTGGTGTGGAACACATGCTCTAGAACCTGCCGAACGAGTCATGCACCCAATCCAAGTGAGCCCGAGGAATTCGTTTCAGCAATTGACTTGCCGTGTCCCGGAGGCGTGGTTGTCTTCGCCCTCGTGGTGGGGAGCGCCTGCCGCGGTTTTCTTCTTTGTGCATCTTGTCTAAGCAGTTTCAGCACGTCGGAGCCAGGAACTACCCTTGGAAATCTACGAAGCCGCAGCCAATCTGCACATCATTGCTCTTGTGTGATGAAACAGTGCTCACCAAGCTAGATTAGGTGCACCAGGCCCAGATGGATGTGTACATTCTCGATACTAGAAACTAGTAGTACTGTGCTGCGGACGCCGCCAAATGTTTGCATGAGCCTTCTGTTGCCTCATGCGATGTTTTCTGCCCAACATCCGCAGTGAGTGCACGCATGAACTCCAAGCGACGGACTGCAATGAGATTTGCTTTCTCAGGAACACTTGTCAGTTTTTCCGCTACTTCAAGGAGTTCGGATTACAAGCCTTTTTGGTGCCATGCTCAGCTCGTACTCCTAGCGAGAGATGTTAACATGGAAACGTCGTGCAGAACTTGCACAAGTTGCTTGAGTGATATGAGCACACGAATCACACATGTACACGGCCCCAACTTTGGAGCTACAGAGCCACTCAGACTTTGTTTGTCAGTGATCCGGTCACATTTGTGAATGTTCAGCTTCGGCTGAGGTGCGCCGACGCGTCAAAACTCAGCTCTCTGGGCTGCAACCGCTCTCAGTCGCCTCCGTCTTAAGAAGAAGTTGCAATGTGTGCAGTAGCTGCCGGGCAAAAGCAAAGAAGAGACTGTCCAGAAGACTTCCAGTTTCAAGGGCGGCCAATGAAACTGTGTTGAGCTCGTTGCAGGTGGTCTCGCAGCATGCAGTTTAGTTCCTCCAAAAGCGTCAGAAATCCATTTGGAAGGCCAATAGCTTCAAGCCAAGCGGCTTTTTTGATCGCAAGGGTCAATTTCTCGGCAGTTGAACACTACGTTCGCTGATCAAAGGGTTTGGATGTGTGGAGGACCTCCCCGACGATTCGGAGACGCTAAGAAAAATAGCATCTGAATGCTGCGTGTGAATGATCGAAATGAAAGTTCGTGCAAAAGCTTTCACGAGCAAGCTTGTAAGAAAACAGAGAGCCGAAGTCGTGACACACCAGGGCCCGCCAGTTTGATAACCTGCGAAAGTTTGTCATGTTGGAGGCCCGACACCACATTACACTATGCCTGCATCAAAGCAGTGAATTTGAGCCTGAGCCGGGCCTGTTGGGCATAACTTCCGCGCTCTGGCAATTTGCGAGGTCGGCTTCGATGGATTTTACATAGCCGACACTACGTGGATGTCTTGGGGAGAAATACATGGTCCTAACGGTCAGTACCCGGCACGGTGAGGTCTTCAGCCACATGTCACAAACCGTGCTGTTAAGCGTTTCAGGATAAACTTGTGTCGAGGCGATATATCGGTGAACACAGGGGCACGAGAAAGAGCATGTGATCCATATGATTCACCAGTACTGCGAACCGTATTCAGGTCCTCTCTCATGAGGTCATCGACTTGCTGCAAGGAGCACGGTCGCTTGACGGGGAATGCAACCATGCCGCGGTACTGTAGCGATGCGGCTATGCTGACGTAGCATCTCTTGCGGTTCGAAGGGATGTTTGGATGGCATAAGTTCATAATGGAGTGGCCAGGATGCATGTGCACGCCCGGCAGGACTGCTATGCGTCGATCCACTGATGAGAATGCAGATTCCCACTGCGCTGGAGCATGAGTGGTTCCAGCAGGTGTGAGGCATGTCGTCTCGTGGTTTGTGCATGCTTGGCATTTAGGATTTAGGTCGTCTACTCTTCTATTCTTTCACCCGAATTTAGCGGCTTTCTCGCCTGAATGAGATACTGAGCCTGTTTCATCCAAAACGGCCGCTCCTGCACAGGTGACAGTCATGCCGAGAAATCCGAGCCAATCTCACATAGACGAATCCGAATTTCTGTTCTCCATTGTCAGGACTCCACTGCAAGCAAACTAGCTGCAGCATGCTTGTCGAAGCAAGAGCCTCCGTTTGCACAGTCTCCGTGCATGGAGTCCCGCAAGATCCAAGCCTGGCTGTGGCGACGAATCAAGCGCCAGAATGTGCAGCGATGACACACGCTGATTCTCAGAATCTCCCAGATATGCCTTCTCAACCAGACCTCGGTTAACCTTCGAGCCTCCGAGAGAGTGTGAACATTGCCACATCGATATAGACCAGTATTGTAGCGCTTGCACTGCGCCGAACATAATCAGCTACATCCTGGAGCTAGAGCATGGTACCGCCGGGAATCGTGTCAGGAGCATCTAAGTCGGAAAATTGGGAAAGGCATTCAGGCCCCGGCCCCGACCAACGGCGAGGTGTTTCATCAAAGCTGCGCATCCAGAGCTGGATGACGTTAAGCTACGGTCAGTAATTACTCGTAGCATCCGCCTCTCCTTCGAGCAACGTGAAGGCTCGGTATGGCATTTGACTTGACCGTCTGTGTCACGGAGCAATCGCGTGCTAGATCGTGCTAACGTTGGAGTCTAGCTTAGAACTTAAGGGCCAACTAAGTTGCATACAATACCTGTTACCTGGCACGAAGTGCCTTTGGCCTGAAGCCTGTCATGATTTAACGACCTCCCGTGTGGGACGGAGTGCATGGCTGTTGTTGCCCTCGTCAGATCCAATGGATCGGACGATCATAGTGCCGCGGTATCTGCTTGTAAGTCCGCAGTCTGGCGGTCTCTGTGTATTTAGTTCAGGAGGTGGTTGAGGGTGCCTTGCTCGGAGCCAGGCATAGCTGCAGTCGCAGGAGCCCTATTCCAGAGGCCGTGACGTCCAAGCCCTAGGTACCCCCATCACTTGTGCATGTGGAAGACATAGTTTTAACTTGCAGCTGCTTTGCTCTGATAAGACATTTCCAATGCAGCGGTTTGTTTTCCGCTGTTCCAGCAATCTGAGACGCCTACCCGGACCTGCCTTGACGCAAAACGGATGTGCGAACATTTCTGGGGATCTGGGTCGTTCTTCAGCGAGGCATATGAAGTTTGGAGATCTGGAGGTCAGGAGGGCAAGAAGACCTTTCAGAGACTCTTGCCGCACATTAATTTGCGAGGTTTCGATTTCGGGATGGTCTGTTAGCTGCCCTCCGGCACGTTCTTCGCATGAATCGCGTGAATAGGCCAATCCCACAGCTCAGAGTCGCCTTGCAGGGCCGTCGGTGCGGCCTACCGCCCGTGAAAGGGTGCTGTCAAGGATTCGACCCGCGGAGGTCAGATACCAGGCCGTTCGGATGCTAAGCGGGATACGCGGTCTTTATCGACTTGCTGCAGTCGCATGGTCTCTCCCTCCTTTGTGTCACACAGCCCGTCTCCTTCAAGCAATGACGTTCCAGGGGAAGCACACCTCTTCTTCACGCTGGAAGCTTTGCTTTCTGATCATCGCAAGATCATCCCCCGTCCTCCTCAGACTGGGTGATACCAAGCCTCCTCGTCGCTCGGTCCCTGAACCTGGCGCCTGTGTCAAGTCTCGTGTCGAATTCTTCGGGCACCCCTATTACTAGGTGACCCCAAAGTGTCGGTCAGCCCGGTACGTCCGTCCGTTCCTCAGCATGCTTCTCTTTCCACGATGCACCGTCAATTTGTCTCCTCAGCAGCACATAACGGCAAATAAACTCACGGCTCTCCGCTGCAAGGCCTGGCTGCTAACTTTGATGCCTTACACTGGGTTCAAACATCTGCTACGGAACAAGTTGTCTCACTGGCATAGCTTGCAGGAACAAACCTCGATCCCTGCACGGTCTCCAAGTGGTCTCCACCTCCCAACTACTTTCTTCCATCCTTTGTTAGGCAGGCTCGAAAGAGTACTAAACAGCCTGCTTGTCTACTCTCCCAAAGCTTCAAACTGATGTCCCTGGTACTGTTGTCCACCACCGGACGCATACCAGCCACCGTCGCTGCATGAGGGACCGCCAATCTGGGTGTGGCCAGAGCGGCAGTACAACGCGGCTTTATGATGCCTCCTCGAGGCTTTCCCACGTTCCATGTTCCTCGACTGGTCCAAAGCTTGGTCCAGAACTTTTGATTCGGCAACCGTGTTTTATACAGACAAGACGATGAGTTTGTTGGCATTTCTAGGTCACGCACAAAGCGATTATGTCCCTCTATGACAGGCCCTCTAGTCTTGTTAGAGATTCGTCATCATCGCTGCTACATCGTGAAGCAGGCCTGTGCAGCAGTACTGCTGCAACCTAAAGTGGTCAAACATTGGAATCTTGCGAAAGAAGCTAGCGCAAGCTCTTGCAGTTACCCGAAAACGATGCTCAGTGCTTCAAAGATGGCGGTCAGCAGCTGCACGAGATCCATCCGGTACAACACGTTGACAGCGAAACACTTGGACAACAAGCCTTCAAGTTATATATCAACAACATAAACAGGCGCTCAAAAAAGGATGGAACAATGAAACTCTTGGAACCTCCGGACCCATCCAGATCGCCGCCCGGGTCGGCGGATGTTGAATGGACCACGACTTAGGATGGAAAGCTCTCCAGGTACTCCTTGACTATTGGGTCACAGAATGTGCAGATGGTACCGTTCTGCTTCTATGTTTTGCTATACTTGAATGACTCCTCCGTGTTGTCCAACACAACGATCATTCTCGCAGACTCTTGCGACGTACATTCTGATCTACGTACGCCAACGCAGATTGCTCGAATGAGTTTTGACCGACCTTGCCTACAGCTCCGAAGCTGTCCGAATGATTGTTCCGCGGATTCTTATCTTGGGCGATCTTTACATACATCCAGGTTCGCTGGAGCACCACAGTGCATTTGTGACGGCCCACGCCTGCCGACATGTCCGAGCACCTAAATTGCACTGGGCGCAGTCTCGTGCTACTGAAGCGCACAGAACTCTGTTGCGCACGGATCTTCATATCTGCTTCTAATTTGCTTTTCCTCCAAAGTGCAGGGTGACACTGTCATCAGCAAATCTACGTGTGTGCAAAGAATGCATGAACATGCTTGCATTGTGTTGCAGCGTGACTTTTTGCTCATGGGCAAAGAGCTATGTAATGTGCGACACAACATTAAAATCATTCCCGCAGGCCCAGTGCTTAAAGATTCCAGTGCATCTTCCACAGCTCATCGATAGGTGCATAAAGGACTCATGGCTTTGGATCCACGGCGCAGGCTTCAGCTGCAGAATTGTGAGTGAGCAGCAGTTTGTGTGAGATCAGCACTGCGTTATGGGCCTGGCTCATTGATTTTTGTGCAGCTTACGGCTAGTAACAGAAGGACCCGCTGTGAGTAGCTAGAGTGAGTGACACTGAGTGCACTCGCGAATCGTGTTCAGCATGCAGCATGCAGCCCAAACGAGGGCTTGAGATGAGAGAGGGAGAGAGCGACAGTTCTGAATCTGGGAGTCCCCAGTGTGTCGGCTAACCAAACAGTGGAGGCCTGGCAGCGCGCCGCTTTCCCATGGCCTGGGCGTGGCAAGGACTGCGCAATCATGCGTGGCGTAGTTACACCCAAAACTGCGCAGCTGCTGCCGGGTGCCGGATGGTGCCGATCGCACTTCCCAGGCCATCTTCTGCGGCACGACGACGCCCCGTACCGACGGCTGCACACCTACATGGCTCAGGGTGCCGAACATGGGTCCCCACCGTTGGTGAAATCTAGGGGTGCCACAAGTGGAATTATTTGGATCTAGCATGCTAAGGCCTCCGTTGGAACGGCAGAGGTCGCGTGGGGGAAGGTGCATTGGTTTTGCTCTGTAGGAATAGCGTCGCAACAAAGCCTGCATGTGGCAGGGCCGTCCTATGATGGAGCCCATGGGAATGCTGCGACAAAGCAGTGCTCCAAGCCTCGTGCGCAAATGCATGAGTTAAAAGCCCTTGTAATTCCCCGGTCCCTTTATGAATGTGGCAGCCTACTTCGAATAACTTGCTTTGCTGCCAGGTACCCGGTGGATATGGAGGCCGGTCCACTGGACAACTTGTACAACTGGTATCCTTGGAGTCCGGAAATGTCAGAACAAGCATCCCTGTTGCAGGCTTCGAGCCCTACCAGAGGCTCTCAAAGGTGTATGACTCAACGACGTAATGCGCCGTGTGCCCGCGTGCCGCCTTGTGTTCCTTTTCCCTGAGTCGATGTTCGTTTGGCGCCAAGCACATTTAACCTTAAGAAAGTCAGGCCAGTTACGACGTCAGCCGCAGCCCAGGAATGAGGCACATGGGATGAGGTGAATGTGTAGTCTACACGTAGCTAGTCAGTTTTTCCAGTGCAGGCGATCTGCATCAGCATCTAACTTGAACTTCACGCGGCCTACTGCTGCTCCGTCGATGCCACAGCAGCCAGCCCAGTGATGGTGAACTGGTGACGAGGTCTGTGTAGCTTGAGGTGTCGCACTGAGCGCTGTGATTTTGTCCAACTCGATTCCACAAAAAACGCCATGCTGGACAATCCATGTAGGTTTGAGCGCGTCGGTCTCTTTTGGTTCACGAAGAGGTCTTCTGACATAAAGGTGCAACAGTGCAGTCGCGGCTTTAGACCATGGCTTTGGTGCCTGGCTTGCCTGGGCTGCCTGCGCTGCTTGGATGCAGTGGGAGATACTCCGCAGTTGAGTCAGAGGCGTACCCTGTGCTCCTGCGTCGGCTGAGAAAGAAGGACATGAGGTGAAGGATAAGAGGCACACGTACTTGACAAGTCGAGTTGGAGGCAAGCCGGCATCTTGGGACCAGCTCCACTTGCATCAGCGGCGTTGCTGACGGACCAACTGTTGTACCTTTGAGCTTTCTGCTTCACAGCTGGACATAGTCTGTCTCAATACTGCAGGACAGCAGGCTCATGCAAGTGCTTCAACAGCTTTCTGCTAGCAAGACTAAGATATGAGATTGTTAGTGCGACGGGGCTCACCAGCTTGGGAATAGACCTGATTTTGTACTCCCGCATGTCATGTCAGTGCAGGAGCCCATGTACATTCGACCAGTGGTGGCCTGCCCATGGTCTTCGGTTCCCTTGGATGGTCTCTTGCTTAGAGCCACGCATGTTCACGTATGAGGACACCGGCAGCATGTTTGCAAACCACATGTCAAAGGCTTGGCATCCCGATCCCACCCTCATTGTGTTCATGTTCGCACCGGCCTCTTGTAGCAACAGCCTGCTGTCAAGTCCCACACGTAAAGTCAAAGCAGAAAGGCTGTCTTGGATCTCAGAAGTGCCTTCAGTCCCCGAGTACACCAGCCTAGCCAGATCTCCAAACCTCAAGGCGTGCGAGGCTGTGTGGCGAGAGAGGGAACGGGTCGAGGCCATGCCGATTTCTAGATCTTGGGAATTGCTCCAGCTGGGAGCAAGGGCCGGCTCTGCTTGGCACTGGAGCTGCGTATCTCCTCTTGTCAGAAGAAAGCGGCCGTTTCTGGCTTCCCGGAACAGCAATGACAACTGTATAGCAACAAAGAAAACCAGCAACAGCAAGAAAGAAGCACTCTGCCTCGAGACCTGAGGGAAAGGGCAAACACCTTGTGTGCCAGACAAGCGAGAGGACAAGGACTAAGCTGAGTGACCACTGCTTTCTACATGATGCCATCATGGTTGACCTTGGGCCCGGAGCCTTCATTCTGAACCCATGTTTGTTTCCGGCTTCTGCTTCGCTGTTTCTCACTGTTTTGTGCTGGGACGCTTAAGGCTCCATCTGGGACCAAAGCGAAGAGCTCAGAGGCCTGGACACCCCTCTCAGTTGTCACGGAAGCTAGCTCTGTGGAGCTTGCGGGAGTTGTCCTTTACAATTCACTCAGAATTCACTCAGGTAGTAGAGAACTAGGTCAAACTGCGTGGACCTTATCTGTTCCGTTCACATCAGTGAAAGGGAGGGGGGCGGCGGGCCCCCACCTTTGGCCACCCCCCACACCTCAAGGTCCATCATGGCTCGTCTGTCTAAGCAACATGGCACCTCGTGCTTTGTGCTTAGGTGGTCGAGTGCGTCTGCATAGCAGGCTCACAGATTACCGCTCAGTAATCAGTTAAGCTGCCACCAGGACAGATCGAGACTGCTCGTATATGGCTGATTTATTGCTGACGCCGGGACGCTCCGACGCGCACTGAGGTCGGTCAAGGCACTACGATACGACAAAAATGTGTCTTTATGTGGGCCAGTGTCAAGGAGAATACTGCTATCATCTTGCAGGCTTAAGCTTCATGGCACGACATACGAGCTTGCTTGCAGCACGCGCGGCCTCCGCGCAATTCCAGTCTCTGCCAGCGTTGTTGCATTCGTGTGGCCTAGCTTTCGCAGCCCTCTTCTCTTGTGAAATTTCGACTAGCAGAAGCAGCGGAAGCAGCAGAAGCGCGCGCGCCAGGACCTGGCAGCTCCCTGGCCTCGAACCCTGGGAGCTTGGGACATCCAGAGGCAGGTTTGCTCTGAGTTTGCCTCTTTGCCTCCACCTCTCTCTGCCTCTCTGCTTTTCTCTCTCCTTCTTAGTGCTTTCTGCAGGTTTGCAGACGGCCGCCTCCTGTCGAGCATTTACCGATTGGCAGTCTGAGGCTCCAGTCTGTGGCCCCGAAGGGCGTCTTTTGTGTAGAGCTCTTTCTTATTCCGATGCTGAGCTCCTGCTCGAGATCAGCTCTTTTGCTGTCAAGGTGCATCTACTTCTCAGCTCCTTGGAATTGCAACGAGGGATTTATCGAAGTACGCAGATCTTACATCAGCAATCCAGCTCACATGAGCGAAGCTGAGCATGGTTGCTGCTTTTTTTCGTGTTCATCGGGTTGACCAGAGTCAACACGCACATGCTGCATACCTGCAGCATGCTGCGGCATAATCAGAGTGGTCAATCCGGCAGACAGCTCAGGTGTCATCCTGCACGAACGGGGACCAGTGTGGCTATTGCCATATGCAGCATGCACAGCGGCCTGCACATTTAGACAAGAGGCAGAGGCAGGACTGCAGCGATTATTTTGCGGGACAAGAGATGTGTTCTGGTGCTTGAGCTGTGCAGGGAGTTGATGCAGACGCTGAATACCGGCGAGCTTATGGCGGTGATTCTCAGGCATGGTACCATAGCCGATCTCTCAGTGATCGCTTCAGCTGCAGCGTGCCCCAAAGGCACTTACGCCTGAAGGCCGAGGAGAAGGCAGTCTGAGTTCGGGCACTGAGTGTAGGCCTACAACTTTGGTTCATCGGCAGTGCCGGGTGATGCGCTTCAGAGTGTCTTTTGTGGTTGTGGCGCAGAGACAGGGCTTTCTCCCTCTGGCTGTGGACGTTTTGGCCATCCTGGAGCGACATGCAGCAGCACCCACCGCACGGGTGCCGATGAAGGTCCAGAGCAAGCCGCTGGGCAGACTGCAGTCGGGGGTCGCGGACAACACAGGATTCACAGACATGGGAGGGAAAGCGAGTGCCACGTCCAGGGCATACTGACATTCGAACCATATACAAAGAATGCGAAATTCTGCAGCGTTTATGTAAAGGAGGGACCACGCGGATACATGTCTTCCTGAAAAGGATCTTTGAATTGACTTACTTGATTTACCGTCTATCCAAGGCTCGATGCCCTGCTGCGGCTCGGTGAAAGATTGGTAGGTTTGATTCTACTTTCTGGGCAGTCCACACTTCAGCAGTTGGACTTTGACTGCTTTGTTTGAGCTTGGCACGCAGAGGGTTCCGAAGTTAACGGATTCGTTAGCTGCATGGCAGTGAGGGCCGAGACGCTTTGGATCAGGGTCGCAGGACCAGAGCATAGCCATGCCGGCCGTCCTCAAGACGCCACTGTAGCCCTCCAAGTGTCTTTTTGGCATCACCGTTCTCCGATAGCCCGGGCGTTGCAGTGAGATGCACAGAAGGAGCAAGATGACGTTTGCCGCCCTGATTGGCATGGCGCTCCGGCGCAAGGCCTTTGCATTGCAAGAAGTCAGGCTAGCAACAGCCCTGCATATGCAACAGGTACAGATCACTTCCTTTGTTTGCTGCCGGTTCTTGTTCCATCCACCATGTTGTGGGCGAGTTTTTAGACGGAACATCTCTATTCCGCCAGTAGACTTGACCCTACGATCAGGATGTGGATCCTGGTTTCGTGCAAGAGATGAATCAGGCCATCCCTGCCTGTGCTGCACGCGAATACGAGCTGCTCGTTCAAGCCTTGTCTCCCCAGCCTTCTTCTGAGGCGCTATCTGGGCTGCGCAGCTTCTGGGCACTGGAAAGCTGAGGCCATGCCTGTGTGATTAGAGGACGTGGAACGGCGATTCTGAGACAGGCTTTTGTCAATTGTCGGCTAGTCTTGTCAATTTGTCAACGTAGCTGTGCCTGTTGCAGATGCCGGTTACCTTCCTTGACACGGTGATGAGAGCAGGGCGTGAATGGACCGACTGCTTGATAAGCCCAACCTGTAGTCGTTGCAGTGAGTAGCTGAAGAGGCTCGACCGAAGCCAGGAGAAGGGAGCCGGGGTCTTTCATAGGGAACACCATTCGTTGCCAGTCATTGTGGCACGTTGCACAAGCCGCACCTCGGTTCCCACAACTGTCTTGCGGATTAGCTGGTGGGGTTGCGAGGAGTGGCAGGAAGGGTCACATCAGGGCGACGTGATAGCAAGATCTATACAAGGCCCTCCAGCACCTTTCGCGGACACAGCGAAGTCACTGGTAACTAGTTCACGAACTTGAAGCTGCTGATGTGGCCAACATGAACTTTTCTGTACCCTCGCCTTCTCGCGCTCCGTTTTTTCTCTCGCCTCGAGGCTGCATTATTTCTATCATGAGCCGCAGATGCCAGCAGCTCCGAAGGGCTCGAGTTCAGAAGTTCAGACTTTCATGTTGATATTGGTCCAACGGCCTGTTGCCACTTAGGCAACACAAAGAATATGTTGTCGACCAAGCTGATTCACAAATTTGCCCACGAAAGCATTTGTGCAATGCACCATGCTCTAATTGCAATCGATGCTTCACAATCACTCTCGATCTTGCACGGCAATTTCTGAATCAGCTGTTATCGACCGAATGGTCGTTGTAAGTGGCCGCCTTGCTACAGCTTCACGCGGCGGATTCTTGCTTGCAGAGGAAAGCCAGCCTTAGAGCTCTCAGAGCGACAAATCCAATGCGGCTTCTAAGTAAAAGCATATGGGAGTCAAGCAGTTGAAGCCTATGTGCGCCTTGTAGCATGTGCTGTGATCGAGCTATGTGCCGATACGCCGTGCCTCCCAGATGGAGTGGCAAGACTGTGTGTAGACTGTAGACTCTGGTAGGTCGCGACGGTTTCACGTTTCGATGATCAGTCAGAGACCTTCTCTTACGGCCCTCCTGCCCTTCGGTTAGTGCCGTTACGGCAAGAAGAAGTTGGTGAGTTCCCAGTGGAGGGCATGAGCTGTTTCTTTGGATGTGACACGGGCAAGAGTGCATAGGCTGCCTCGAAAATGTTCCAGCGACTACCTGGAGCAGCTTCGCACATTCCTTGCAGATGGCAGCCTGCCATACTTTGCTCCAATACCGCAACCCCAGAGGCGAGTTGTAGCCTCTGCCTTCTGCGCGGCAGCACACGCGAAGGAAAAGAGGGGTCGTTTCTACCGCAGGTAGGTCTTTGTACTTCGTCGAGACTGGATGAGACAGAGAGCCCTCTTTGGTCATTCAGATTCGAGGGCTTTCAGGCTGGCTATGGGCTTGCACTGAGGCGACCATCGCGGCGACGATTGCTGAGCTGGCATGTTGTGTTTGACTCGCTCTGGCTTAAACGCCCAGGGAAGATGCAAAGGCAGACTTGTCGCTTGTCGGTTGCTACTCGTGGGGGTGTCCAGGCATGAGGCCTCGCCGCACTACGTGTCGCCTGACTGGCATGATTGGAAGCAAGAGGGAACACTCGGGAACCTGCAGGATCTGCAAGGGTAGGGACCACGGACCGAGCGTGACGGGCCAGGCCCGGAGATCGCTTCCGAAATCAGGCTGGGTAGAGGCTGCTGGAACCTGGCTCCTTGAGTTGTCGTTACAATGCGATTCAGGCACCGCTTCGTGGCTTTCCGCACAAAGATGCAGTCCAAATGGACACGAGGTTTGGGATCTTCAGTTTGAAGCCGAGTTCCCGGGTGCAGTGTTGTGACTGCAGCAGAGGCTGACAGAGCGTCTACGAGAGCAGACGTTCTCATCCGTTGAGCCGACGAGGAGGCAAGGGACAACTGCAGAGCCGTGCAGTTGTGTAGCTGGATCTTGTGTCGTTTCTTGCTTGGTGATTGCGTTTGGTTGTATACTGTATACTCGTAGTCAACATTGACGACTAGGGCCTTTGTGATGCACCGCCTTTGTGGTAAAACCTGGAGCCACTTTGCGAGTGGCCTTGTTCGGTTTCTGCTGGACAAGTAGCTCCCTGCCCATGTCCCGCTGGCCAGGCGCCAACGGGCAGCCAAGGACAAAGCCTCAGCAACCGAGCCATCAAAGCAATCCCATGCGGGAACCCCGTCCGTGCGTTTCATGCCTCATCAGGCTCCCATGGCAGGTCAAGGAGACCGCGCTATTGAGGGATGGGGGTACATGAAGACAAGTGCGTGCATGCGTGCCGCCGAATTCAGGCATGCTATAGTGCATGGACAGACAGATGGCTATGGCAGATTGGGAGGTCTAGATGGGCACGGTTCGTTGCTGTGTGTGTATATATATATATATATATATTTTTTTTTTACAGATGTATCTATTGCTCCCTGTCTGTCTCTCTCTCTCTCTCTCTCTCTCTATGCACACATACGCATCATGCTTACATATTTAAATAAATATATAGAAATAAATAAATATACATAAATAAATCAATGTATATATATATATATATATATATATATATATAGATAATACACATGTATAAAAAGGGTCGGTATGCACAGGTGCATGTATGTATACCTACTGTTTCACATGTAGACAGCCCAGCTAGCGGCGTGGCTGGATGGAACGAGTGCGGCCACTTTGACGTCGAAGCAACACAAGTCGTTTTGGAGTGAGCGGATGGGCTGTGCGGCCCTGCTAACATTGTAGCAACTCCGCGCGCGCTCAATCTCAAAATGAGCACTGAATCCCAGAATGAGCAAAGCACCTGGCGCGAGAACCCTCTAAAGTGCACATCGCACTGTAGCAAGCACGAATCATCAAGTTCGGAAGCCCCACACTCCAACGGACAAGCTTGAAGTCTGCTTCAGGCTCGAGATCAGGGCACTGTGAAGCTTCTAGGGCTTTTTGGCATGTTCTTGAAATCCCGGCATGCACAAGGGTTCAGCAAATCCCCGACCCGATGCAAAGCCGCGAGTATTTCGGATCTTGCTGTCACAGTCCCGTGCGTTTCTGCCTGCCGAAATCCTTCTCGTGCGCAGCGTCTTCCCGTCGCAGTGCGGTGCCTGTTCTGGCGTTCCAACTGTGCTCCCGCCCCAGTGTTGTGCTCATTTTGGACTCACAGGGTGGGAGGTGTTGGGAGCATTCGGGGTGCTGTCGACTCTGGCGATGCTGCTGGAGGCAGGCAAGCGCACAGACTCCACCACGGCCAGATGGAAGCGAATGCAGCGAGTGTGGGGTGGCAGCTTCAAGCACGAGCGAACGCAAGGAGCATACTGGCTCAGAGGCTCGCCGCACAGCGGCCAGGAGTTCTTGCATTGTTTGGGGTCCAGCATCATGTATGTGTATATGTGTGTGTGTGTCTGTGTGTGGAAGTGTACATGTATGCTGTTTGCAGACATGTATGTATATGTATGTACACGTGTATTTGTGTATGCATATGTCAATGTGGGTGTGCGTGTGTACATTTACCTTATGGCCTTATGTACCTACGTTCTACGTTCTTACATGTAGTGTTTGTAACAGCTTGGACGGGTATGAGAGTGTACAACAATCTAGTTGGAACTGATCCAGCAGCTGTCCGAGGAGCTTATGGCTACAACAGCCCGTATGGCTACGCGTACAGCGGGTACGTCCGAAACACAGCTGCTTGCGTTGTTTCTCTCGTTCAGTGCAGCTAAGGAGCACAGCTTGCCTCGTGTGGGAAAGTTAGAACAACACTCTCACCGAAATCCAGTCGGCATGAAGTGTGGTTGGCATGCGAGTGACTGTCGGACTTGAACTGTTGGGCACGAAGATATCATTGGCTGCACGGTTTCGACTGTGGTCTTCGCAGTTCCAAAGTGCAGTTCCAAAGTCTAGTCGGGGGACTTCAAGCTTCAAGGTACCACGGCGGTCATCACAAGGATGCATTGCAGCAAATTGTCAAAGCCCAGGTCCCTATCGTTCAGGTTACATCGCAGTGGTAACATCCCCTGCATGTTCATTTCACGCAGCAGAGCTTCGTGACCGGTCGAGAAATGCAGGACATGGAAGTGATATTTCAATAACAGAGAAGCTCGTCCGGTCCGTGCAGATCGTCTTCGCTTGTAGCTCCGGAGAGGTCGCCGTAGTTTTGTTCGGAGTATAGCACCTTGGAAGCTCTAGCTGAAGGCCACGCCTGCACCAGCCACTCGCTCCGCAGCATCATCGCCGTGAGCCTGGCAAGTGCAAAGGACAGAGCACAAATGCACTTGACAAGCAAGTTCCTGTCAAGCACTGTGACGACAAGTAGGACGTTCAAGCTTCGAGCCGCATCAGAGCATCCGACTTTTTCTCGCTCCACGACATGTGGATGTGATCAGGCCATACCAAGGCAGCGCCTACAGCCAGTTTGGAGGCCGAGTGCTCCGCACGAGATGCAGTCGGCTTTGGTTGCTGCTCGTGGAGATGAGTCGGAGACCAAAAGCTGTTCCTGCTGATAGTGTGTGAGGCGTTCCGACAGAGCTCTACCCCCAGGACAGGCCGAGGGACAGCTTCTGCATGGTTTAGACAGTGCTCCCGTGGAAAGAGTAGGGCACGGAAGAACATTTGAAGTGCAAGGAGCCTGCATCAGAGTCGCTCAAGATTTACAGCGACCTCTTTGAAGAGGCCACTGGTCTCCAGGAAAAGCAGTGTGAATGTTTGACCAGGGGCTGTCGCTGCAGGTCATTCAACGCGATCGTGTGTTTGGATCCTTGTTGCGAAAGGCTCGGCTTGACAGTGAGGAAAACCGCCTGCACATGCGACTAGAAGCTCTATCACAGTGCAGCATGTTTTTGCGAGTCATTGGCAGTTTGGCTGAGACATTCAAACGCTGTGCCAAGGACAACGGTATCCTATCTCTTGAGAGTAGACTGAGTCTGGGTAGACATTGCATGGAAGCAGAAAGACTGCTGCCTTTGTGCGAGACCAACGCACCGTGAGTGCTTTCCAGGGCCGCACCCCTTGGACTGCCCCGCAAAACGCCAGCACAGCTCTTCGGCAAAGGCCAGAAAACCAAATGTGGGCTCGAGCCCTGAATCTCGGGATATCGCACCGGCTACACACCGTCACCAGCCCTGGTGCTAGCAAAGCAGGTCAAGGCGGCCTATGACTCGCACTTGGGCGGAGAGGACAGTGTTGAGCCGCTTCGAGATGCCATCCAATTATTCGGCAGCTTCGATTCTTTCACGACTCGGGGGGCAGGCGGGAGCGGTGCCGCCAATGCCTGGTGTTGCAGAAAGCCTTCCAAAGGCTCTGCCCAGAGGTGGGAGACAGTCCTTAAGTAACCGCTCCAGTCGAGACGTGCGCTGAGTCGGGACATGTCTAGGCCCGGGTTGGAAGATTCGGCGAGCCGAGCCAGAGAACACATAACCCTGGCGAAATATCAGCCCAACATCATCTTAAGGTCTTCCAACGCAAAATGGTCTCAGAGAATCAAGCTAGAAAAGAAGTCTTTCAGTATTGTAACCCTAACATCTTGTTGACAAATCCCATCACAGCACTCGCCATCGGCTGTCTTGACGTTAACTGCTGCAGGCCTTGCAAGCGAGCCGGTTCTCGCCTCTGAGGCACCGACAAGCCGGGGGGACCCGACAGGAAGCACGGAGTGAAGTTTTCTGTCACTGGCGCTTGCTCCAGGCCTCGCAAGTGGATGCTTCGCAGCCATGGGAGCTGCACCGCGAGAACCAGGCCAGAGAGCTTGCGAGACTTCCAGTCACTGGCCGGCAGCCAATGGATCTAAGCTTTGTTTTGCAAGTTCGATACCTTTCCCTTCGGCTTTCATGCCCGCGGTTTTGTCGCAGGCTCTCAAGGACCTGATCGAAAGGCCATGGGGTTCAGATTCATGATCACCATTTCGTCAGATCGCAGTGTGGAACACAGTGTGGCGTGTACAATGGTGCGTGCAATGGAGCATGTTTCCGGTATGCCGCGGGAGAGGTTACACATGGAACTCGAAGTGGCCGTCAAGCGCCATGCTCTTACAGACATGTTTACGAGCACAGGCCGTAAGAAATCCGATGGCAAGAGCATCTGCCCCCATGTTGATTCCTCGATTCTGCCGGCGCATAATCCGAGGTGAACAGCGCTGGAAGAACAAGGCCGCAAAGCTCAAGGCATTCTGCAATCTGACTTGTCAGCTGGCAGGGCATCTGCCTCAGCCTGTAGGAGCTGGTCCCAGGAACTTGTCTTTGTTCCAAGAGCCTTCTGCTATTGGCATGTGCCTGCAAGCCATGCAGGATTGTCCAATCTGAAGACTCTTCTGGCTCCCAGCCGGGAATGCAGCAAAGATGTCCAAAGAACGCTGAGCAGCAGCCACGACAAATGCCTACACGTGGCTTCAAATTCGCCCCGCTCGCACAAGTGTTAGATGTGGCCATGATCAGCTTTTCCTTCGGTCGAATGAAGCTGGTAATTCAACGCGTGGCTCGTGCCAGCGTGATGGTGAACGGCACCGAGGCAGGCGACATTGGCCCAGGCCTGCTCTTGGACCCCAGGTGACGTTCAGTCTTGTCAGACTCAGCAGGTCTGGTCATTCTGCTGGGCATTACGCTGGGAGACAGCGTGGAGCTCGCTAAACGACTGGCGGCCAAGGCCCTGACACCTGCATGCATCAAGCCGATGCTTCCCCTGTCTGGGCAGCCCACACCTGAAAAATCTTGAAAAAAAATCGCGCAGCAAGCGCTGCGAAGTAGGCCCGGCTCTGGAAAACTCTAGCAGTCCTCCGGTGTCTAATTTTAACGCTACGCCGCCCGCCTCGGGGGGCAGTCGATGTTGTATACATGCTAGGGGGAGGGGAGGCGGGGAGGGGGGGGGAGGAGGGGGGGGCGGAGCGGGGGAGGGGACGGGGCGGGGGAGAGGGGGTGGCAAACGAACGCAAAAACAGGGTGTCTCCAAACATTTGGCTGCAGGGAGGAGGATTAGGTGGAGGGTACCTGAGGTAACCCCCAAGACGCCTGGGCCTATGGCCTCGACGGATTACACAAGCTGCTTGAGTCAAATTCGTACGGATGTGATCGGGAATTGGCAACACCACCGGTGTTGGGTTGACTGCCCTGTGTCGACATGCTGTCATCTGGCTCGCTCTGTCACTTTCTTCTGAAACCTTGTGCCCATACAGTGTAAATGCTAATGCGTTGGTGTTGTTCAACTTGACTGAATCCCGCTCCCGCCACGGTCCCATTTTGCTTGTTTTTGCGAAGTCTTTGGGTGAAAGTCGTCATTTTTGCTGTGAATTCGCCTGAAGTCCAAAACATCTTTTAACGGGAGAGCCCCTGAAATGGTTCGTGGGACTCTGGAGTCTGACATGCTGGCTGCTGGGTGTCAATTCACTGCTTTAGGTCTGCACACTGGCAGATTTGTTTATCGGCATTTTTGGACATGTTGAGTACAACACCGACGTTTGCGGTTGCCGAGGCACCGCCAGGGGTGCCGTTTTGAGCTTTTTACGTACATGACCCAGCTGTAAGGAAGTTGCGTCTATGGCCTGATCCCAGGCCGACGCTGCAACTGTTGCTACTAAACTGTCACATTCCCTGCTGCTATGGGTTGAGCATTGCTTGACGCAGTCCACGCAGGGATGTCTCAAAGAGCTGGGCAAGCTCTGTCCTCTGCTCAGCCTTCTCGTCGGCCCCTGCCACACGTCCCAGATCGTGCTGCAGCGTGTAGCTGGCTACCGCCGCGTAAATCTTTGTTGACCATGTTGATTCAAGCTGAGGTTCTTGACAACAGCTTCTCCGTATTGGTATTGGGCTCGAAAGCTGGGACAGCCGGTGAGTGCTCCCAATGTGTGATAGATGTCTACTTAGGTCGTGAGCCAGTTCACCCTCTTTGCAACCTTCAAAGGGACGAAGCCCAACTTCAATCGTGCGATGGGTGCCAGCGAGGCCTCCCATGCACGATTGATTTGGCCAATAGAAACGTGTGGCTAATTCGACCAAGCGTAAGCGCTCAGAGGTGTTGGGCGAGGTCACGAGTCAGAGCTCCAAAGGAAAGGGTTGCCATCGGTGGAAACCTGAAGGCAACTTCACGCAGGAGAAACACTTCTGCAACAACAGAGTAGGAGCTTTCTGCAAAGGCCAAGGACCTCCGGCCTGTAGATGGAATCAGACAGGGAACGGTGAGCTGCAGGACTTCGTCGGACAGGATGTCCTGTCTGAGTCTAGCGGTGGAGGTATCGGTAAAGGAATCTTGGGAACGCATGTCGTAGCGGATTGCAGTAGTTGGAGGAGACGCACGAAACACTTGATATGTGTTTACTACCTACTTTCAGTGCCTACTGGCATGACCCAGATCCTCACCACCTAGGATGGGCGACAAACGTGCTCTGTCCCAACTTGGCCAAGTAGACCAGGGCAGCAGCACAGTACAACAGCAGCAAGGGCAGCAATGAGCAGAAGCTTGCAGAGCCATGCCACGATGGAACTTCGACAAGCAACCAACCTGAGTTTCGTTGAACATTGGCATATGTGGCCGCGATTCGACGCTTTTTTGACACGTCGGGTGGCCCCAACATCTTGCCGAGCAGACCCTCTCGAGTTGCACAGGCCGAGCCCATTTACGAAGCTTTCGTGGCCACCTGCCAGAAGGAGAGACTGTGCTCATAAGGCAGAAGTCTGTGCACGAGTGCAGTAACAGCAATTCTTATCGCGGTGCACAGTACTACTCAGCTCGTCTCCTTCAGGAGTTGGGTGAAGGCTTGGTGAAGACAGGTGAGTTCGGTGCAGACATGCAGCTTCGATGCATGGGCAGAGGATTTTGACACAGAGCTCTGCCAGCTGCCTCGCTGCTTGCGGGTTTTCCATCCGACTAGGCAGGTGGATCTTTGCAACGATGGGCCCGTCACTGTGGAGCTTGTCGGGCTCGCCGCAGCTGCACAGCATCGCGCAAGAAGACGCCCAACAGGCAGTAGTGGTGTTGTCTTGCGATGTCAGTGCCTGTTCCATGGCCACAATCCTGCATGAAAGCTGCCAGTAGTGAAGTTGGAAAGTTCAAGCAACCTCTCCAGCAACCCTCAGCCTTTGACAGCATCCGCCACCTCCAGGTCGCTTCTGCGGTTCTAGCGCGAGGCAGGGCAGGGCAAGTTCCAGCTTGAAAGTCCAGCTCGAGTGGCTGCAGGCACATCGGGCATCCCCTGCTCATCCTTAGTGCGACGAGGCTTGGATGACGTGATTCCGGGCGACTGCACTTACCTTCACCTGCCACATGCTGCGTTCTCCTTTGAACGACGCGGTGCTTGATTTCCGGAGCGTCAACAAGCTCACCTGCGCCAAATTGGCAGACTTGTCCTTGCAGGTCGCTGTGGTACAACTGCAGCTCCCCGGTGGGCGTTCTTGGCTGAGTTTTCCCCGTTGCTCGGTGCCAGCAGAGCAGCAGCTATCTACCGGCTCGAGGCTCGGTGTGGTGCGCGGCACGCATTGCCGCCGTTAAGTGCAGATTCGCTTCGGGGGCGAATGAGCGTGTCTGCTTGGCCTTGCCCCGTGATCCGCTTGGGGTAAAAAAGTGTGAGGCTCACACGGATCATGCCTGATCAGGGTTCTTGAAGCGAGACTCGTCCGGGTCCTGAATGGCTTCTGAGATGGCAGACATTGGAGGGAATGTGAGCTGGCAACACATGTCGATTCCATGCTCTGGCCTTGGGTGCAGGCGCGTGCAAACGCATCCCGCCTGTCCAGCAGCACCCAGTTGATGGCCCCGGCGCAGGTGCACAAGGGCAGTACATGCAGCGACAATATTTCACGTTCTTCGCCAGGAAACACCCTCTTACTGGGCCGGAGCAGGCTGATCTCTGCAGTTGTATTTGCAGCTTCTTGTCAGGGCACCAAACGAATCGAAAAGGTAAGGCATGATGCCAATGATTCTGCTTTACCTGAATCAGCAAATCGCTGGCAGGGCTTTTGCCTATGCCTAGTGCCAGTGCTACGTGGCAGCACGAATTCTCGGAGAGGCATCGGTTTCCCACAGATGGACGGTCAGTGGGTCGGCGATGCGCGGAGCCCAGCGCGCGCGCGCTCGCGCGAGCGCGTTGCACACAGTTGCGCACTGTTGCTTGGCATCCGAGGCGATGGCGGCTGCTGCGGGAGCGAGGCCTCTCCACGAGCCCAGGCGCTCCCGCGCTCCCGGTCCAGCGCTGCGAGCAGATTGGAGAAGAGGGGTTTCTGTTTTTTCCATGCAATCTGCGTCTTGCTGCGACTCTGGCTCCACCCATACTGAGTCATTCCCACTAATAAACCCCGGCCCCATGCGAATCAGGGTCAACAATCCTAACAGATGACTGACATTGGTGACACAGCTGCAAGCAAGCACGAGAAATCTAGATACCTCTTGCACCGCTTTCTCGCCATGCGGTCGAAGATTGTTGGAGCCGCTGTGGCAGCTACTTGGCAGAAAGCTCTAACTCTACGAATTGAGACAGATCGAGCCAGCGTGGGCTGCCATTTGCAGCCTTGTAGCTCATGTAAAGAATCGACTGGCTGTTGTCTCGAGGCGTTGCTGGTCAAACTCGCCACTTTTGTCGCCTTCGCAGCCAAGCCCAGTTGGACAGACGAAGGCATGCCTCAAATAAATGATACTGTCATCATTCCGTCCCCGCCTAGGTTCCATTTGCATCCTTTACATCGCACCGGCAAAGATCCACAGTCCCTCTGCGCGCGGAGACTTGGCTGAACAGTATTGAACAGTGACAGTCTGCGACATGAACTTGGTTACGTATGTCGCACTGCTTCCGACTGTTCAGAGGTCCCAGGTGCTGAACCAATTGGACCGCCTCTGACGCTGTCTCCAGAAAATGTGGAGGTGCAAAAGGGAATTCGAATTGTTGCTACTGGTGGTGGAATCTTGTGAAGGTAGTCCTTCAGGAGGCACGGTACCATCACATGCAAAATTGCTTTGGCTATGTGGAGGAGAGCACGTGGCGAGCCTAGCTGACGGACCAGCTTTGTAGTCGAAGGTACGAATGCCTGGGTTATGATCATGCTGAGGGGTGCCGGCATCACGGGGAAAGTGTCTTGGCAAGAAAGATGTGAGTTATTTGTTGCTTCAAGGGCAGCGCGGGAGCGGCGCATATTTACGTGGGGTCCCAACCAACGTCTCAGCCTAAGTGACTAAGTGCCATGTCCCTCTCTCCTTGTGGAACAATGAAGAGCAAGTCTCTGCAGGAGAAGTCTGGAGGGACCCCTGGTGGACACGTGAATCAGCCCACGTCAGCCCTTGATCTTGAGCTTAGTCCTGAACACGTCCCAAGTGATGCGTGGGCCAGTTGCTTGAAAAGCCAAGATGATCCTTGTGAAATCTTGTGAACCCGTGTCTCTGCACTTGTGCAAGAACTCGTTTCAATTGCTTGCCTAGCTGCATGTGAAGAAGCAATACTCTTGGGTGGACACTTGGAACAGCCGTAAGAGGGCAGCTGCTTTGCGATAGGGCCAGTATCTGATATCTCTTCTTTGTGTAGGAGGAATGTGGAAGCAGCAGACCTTTTCGAAGGTCGACCTCGTGGATGTGGAGGGCCCCATGGTGATTATTCACCTGTATGGTGCATTCTGGCACAAGCGCGAGGCGGGCGAACCCAGACGGAGTAGGTAGCTGAAAGTCTAGGGCGCGTTGAGAGCCTTCTGCGCCATGATCTCTCCTCACATGCAAGCGATCGAATGTCGTTCAGAGTTGTCGGATGCTGCGTGTTTCGCGCCCTGGGTGCGAGGGAGTGTGGGAGTGTTCACACACCAAACGGAGTGGCAGGGTGCGTGGGGCTATGGAAATGATCGGGATGCAGCCCTAGCCAAATGGGAGAGCGGCACGTTTTGGGCACTGATAGGGTGGAGTTTTGTTTGTTGCTGTCCGAATTGTTCAGATTTGTGAGAAGCTGATGAATCTACATTTTTGCCATTCTTGCTTCCTCACCCTGCACGATGCAGGACGTCCTCCGGCGGGTGAAGCGCCTCCTCCAAAATATGCTGCTTAGCGTTCCCTTGAAGTAGGATTGGCTCCGAGGAAGTACCTGATCCAGCGCATCCCCGAAATCGCAGATGTCGATGTGGAAGACCCGGACGACCTGGTCGATGAAGGTGCTCGTTGGTAGTTCAGCCTGTGCGGTATTAGGGGCCCAGCGTAGAACACTCGAGTGAACTGACCACCTGACTACGCTGCTACCTGTAAGGTGTGACATCTTCACGGGAGTCCTGTGTAAGCCTCCATCTGAATACAAAGGTCCACGGTCGTGCCAGCGTAGCGCAGGTCGTGACCGCTCCGGGACTTTCTACCACCGCCACTAGAAGGTGCTGAAATGCTTTGCAGAGCTTCAAAGCCGCCTGAGTTGTTGCCTGTGAGCTGATCAATAGGCTTGTGAAGATTACCGTGATGACCAAAGGCTTAAGCAGGTGGGCTAGTTGGCTCAGGAGGGCACAGACGGTTTTGGGAAAGTTTAGTTCCGGCCTTACGGGGCTGCATGAGATATCAAGGCGTCGATGCGATGCATACTCTCTGAGAAGGTTCAAGCAAGTGCACAAGCTCATCCATACCTGCTTTTTCCCTTCCACCATGAGGAGTCAGGCAATACTCAGTGCTTGTATCCGCGACTTCTCAGAGAGCTACCAGTAGGCAGGGAGTGACAATTTGTGCAAGAGGCAGCATACCGGCAGCTTGAACTGTCCAGGATGTGCGATGTACTCCGCACGAACAGGGTCTTTGCATGAAGCATGGAGAAATCCTGCAAGCAGCCGGTTGCAGTCGAAGTTTTCCAGAGCCGAATCTGTGGCGGTCGCAGTTCGGCCCTGCAGTCCCAGACCCAGGAAGCGCACAGACTCCGTGGAAAAGAGCTGTAGCTTCTCACAGATGCACTCTGCGGAACTTAGCTTGCGCGAAGTCTTCACTGATTGGGTCCTGGACAGGTCCTTCCATCCTAGCCGCCGAGAACCTGCCCTCGACGCCTCCCAGCCAGTGCAGGCCGAGACGATCTTGTTGTCTCTGCCAGCAGCATAAGCAAGGGACGACAGGATACGTGTGCAACACGCTTGTGTTCAAAGATGGCAAGCTAGGATCGAGCCGACTACCGTCCTTTCGGCTCGATCAAAGCTTCCGCCTGACTCGACACATGAGGAAATGACGAACTACCCATCGAGAGGGACGGGCTCCCCCCGCTGCTTGTAGCCATCTACTGGTGGGCACCCCACACGACATGTGGTGCGCGGTCAACGCAATAAATTGGCCGTTACAGTCAATTCCTCCCCTTTGGATAGGCATCCAAACAGTCCCCCCACTCAAGAGGATGTCTTGCAGGAGTCCCAAGATCCGTGCCGCACTCCTGCCGTTGTAGCACAACCTTGTTTGGGCATTCCTGAATGTTTCCGTCGGATGGTCCTTGGTTCGCCAATCTTGGCAACCGATATCCTGCCATCTGATCGAACAGCCGCTGCAACGGCTTAGTCAGTGTAGCAACAGAGTTAGTACCCCAGCATTTGTCAGCGCGAATGTGCTGGTGGTTTCATGCCAAGTAGTGTGGTAATCATTGGTGTTACTGGGTGCAAAACGTGCGTCGTGGGGTGTTGGACTTTGAAGCGGTCTCGGGATATGGTTTTGTTTTGTCCTCTCTGCGGTCTTTCATTCATTGGGATTTGTATTGGCAGGAGTCGGATTTTGGACATTTGGGTGATTTGTGCTGCGACCAACATCAAGAGTGATCGCGCAGTAGAGCTTCACGTCCTTGCACTTGCTGTTGAGCAGTATTCAAGACGTCCTAGAACCGGGTCAAGTGGCATGTTCTCAGCAGTAGCTGGCCTCATTGTCGTGCCGCCGGCAAGGCTTGTGGGCCTGAAGTCTTGAACCAGGGTGGCCTCTTCAGTTTGAGTTTGCGGCCCAGGAGCTTTTTCTTCGTAAGGTGCGATTGATGCAGAACATTCTGTGACAAGAGATCGGTTGCTTTGACATGTCTGCCAGCGGCGACGGCATCCATTCAGAGTAGTTTGCGCAGGTTCCATTTCGCCGCAGCATTCACAGCTGCAGCCGGTGGAGCCCATCGATGTTCCAGGCCTTCGCATCTTGTTGCGACTTGACAATGCTCCCTGCTGTACTTTCAAAGACATTGGCATTGTGATGTAACCCTTCCGGCGGTTGTAAGATTTTATTCGCTTTGGCATTAGGATTTGACCCCGACAGGGGCCGCTGCTTCTGGAACCGAGACTGCACGCTCTGACGACAGTGGTGCGCCCATGATCCTTTGCTTCTGCAATGTTTCATTCATGGCTGGAGTTGCCTTGCATAGTGCGAGCGTGTGGCGCACTAAGTTTCTAGGTCTAGGTTGTTCAGGCTTCACTTTCATAGCCCGTAGAGTCCAGGTTGCCTAGACGATACCGGGGGACGGACAAAGCAGAGGAAGGAGGAGACGGCAGACGAGACAGCCGGGAAGGACGAGGAGAAGATATGCATTCATATCTTGTGCAGGAAAGCCGGGCTATCATAAAGACGAAAGCAAAACCTACAGCAACACGCGGTCAACTGCACACAGTCTCGGCTGTTGCGGCCTCACAGTATGTTGCATTGGAGCATGTTGAGAGGGATTAGATCGTGAGCGCCTCAGACAGATATCCCTCGGCTCATGCAATGCATCGCCTGCAGCTGATAGTGGGAGCACACCCCAAAACCCAGTGCACGTACCTCACATACCTGCTCTGCATTCGTACAGAGATTGTCAGATCAGGCCGGAGAAAACCAGCTTGCCAAAAAGTTCGATAGCACCTTCAAGAACTGACTCCTTTTCGCCTCTCGTGATGGCAAGCTCCGATGAGTCGGTGAAGCCCCGGCGGACGACTTGTGACGAGTCGGCGCAGGCGCTTGCAGACCCGGTAGTGTCTTCTTTTCGTCCTCTCGACGTCGAGGCCATCCGCAAGTACCTAGATGAGCTCCGGCTGGAAGTCGAGAAACTTGAGGCCAGCCCCGCTTGTGTGTGGCTTTGCCTGTGCGCGAATTGGCGCACCTCCAAGGCCCAAGTGGCCGAACTTCAAGAGGAGGCGCTGCCTAAGTCTGCGGAGTGTTCTGTCTGCACGACGGTGTGAAGCAAGACAGCCAAGGGTACTAGGTAATGGTTTAATGTGGTCTTGTCTGCTGCCAAGGACCGGCGCTGTGAGGCTCAACGTGGGAGGTGACACGGGTTTCGAGCTTTTCCGTACCTCGGCTTGTCCGAGAACCCGAGACATACATCAAGCTCGATTGCTCGCTTTTTCCTGTTCTGGATGTCGCTGTCAGCCCTTCCCAAGGAGAGCAGTTTGATTGCTTTCCCAAGTCGCTTCTGCACTCGATTGTGACTGGTCGCTGGGGAGGGTACACAAGCTTGGAAGCCTGTCTGCACAGGATGCACATTGACATACTTTTTATTTTTTTACCGTGTTTCTTCGACGTCAGGCCAGGCTGCAGTGCTGGGGTAGTTCAACTAAGGATGATGATGGCCGCATCTTCCTCGACTTAGCCAAAGCCTTGCGTTCAATGGAGCAAGTTCCACATTGTCTGCTTTCTGGAGATCAATCTACTCTGGTCATCTCAGGACCCGGCACAGTTTCGTTGCGTCCTGGACTGGGCCTTTGCTTGGGGCCGAGTGATGTTGCTTGCGAACCTGATGTGCAGGTGCAACGTCTCTGCCTGTAGTAACTTGGTAGTCGAATGATTTCGAGATGAGATTACATTTCTTAAGGAAGGCGCCGAATCGGAACGCCGCCGTGCGCCGGAGACCTCCGAGCCGCAGACCTGGGGCCTGGACCGAAATGTTCTCGTCTCGTGGAATGCCGAAGTGCTCAAGCGCCGTTTGTCTCCTGTCTGGGGCCTAGGACCTAAGGGCCGAGGGTTGAGCCCAGCCCTCGCTCCAAGGCTCCCTGTTAGCTTCATGGAGTGCCTGTCCCCAGCCATTCTTCAGAGTTTAATTGGGGGCTCTGGAAACTTTCCAACTCCTGGCCTGGCCTAACTAGTTTGTCAGATCATGAGGCACATAGATGCACGAAATGTGGCATGACTGAGACTTCGATCAGTGTCACTGTGAGCAGCAAGACTGCAATCCTGCGAGCAACACTGATGAGACTTTTCAGTTTTCCAGGACCTCTTGCTGCGCTTTCTGGGCTTGGCGGAAGATCCTGCCACCATCGTTGGAGAGCCCAAGGACGGAGCCGAAAGGATCTTTTGAACAACTTGGAGTGTGGTTGCTCCCGGTGGACTGTACAAATTTACAGCAAGACAAGTAGACACAGCAGACTACTTGCTAAAAGAGTTTTATACATAGATGCAGGCTCGTTTGACATCTCCTCTGCTGGGCATGTCCTTGATGTCTACCCACCGCGACTCATTGCAGGTGAAGCTGGACCCAGAGGATGGTGCCATTTGTACATACACAGAGATCTTTGGCGGCAAGTCCTTGCGTTCGTGAACGATCAGACTTGCAGTGCTATAGGGCAGCTGTTCTGAGGATTCTCTGCAAATATGCAAAGGAGTTTTCAACCGACGAGATTCGCGCCGCGGCTGCGACAGTGCCTCTAGATTGTAGGGCCAAAGCATGCAGGCATCACCTTTGTCGTTTGTCTTGAAACAGCATTGTGTCTAACGTTGTCGAGGATTTCGCTTAGTGTCGTTATTGGCACCTTATTGGGCAATCTAGTCTACTTGTAGTACTCGTTCCAGCACAGTTGTGCTTCATGTGCTACTCATGATGAAGATGATGGTTGTGCTGCTGCCGGTGATGATTGGCGGTGATGATGAGTATGATGATGATTGAGGATGAATAAGATGATTCAGAGGATGATAGCTTGGGTCACGCGCCGCTGTACGATTACCGATTATTGCTATAGTTGTCATTGTTGGGTTTGTCCTTATGATTACCACATCGCAGCAATCTGAATCCACAAGTTGAGTAAGACAAACCACAGCTTAGCATCAGCAATGGATTGGTATGAACTTTAAAATTTGTCACATCATTGCTCGAGCTGCTTTCTTTACTATCAGTAGTCGTAGACATATACTTATAGACGCATGCGTACCAGCGATCGTGTTTTGCGTTTGAAACACCTGCATTTGCATGCCTCGCAACTCGCTAGACATGTTCTTGTGAAAACAAGCATGGCTGTGAATATAATGATCGTACCAGCAGCGCCACCCCTTGTTGCTGCTTTTGTGAGGTCATAGCCGCAGTTACTTGTACGGTGATGTTGAGCACGTTGAGCAATGAGAAGGACAGAAGCAACAACAACACCCCCATAAACAGTTATACTCACAGTTTCCTTCAATGCCCTTGATTCTGAACCCTTTGTTTGTTCGGAAACCAGTTCAGCAACAAACAGCTCACCGCGCAACAGTTTCACCATTTAAAGTACGGGGCCTATGATAGGACAACTGAGTATTGAAATGGTTTCGTGGCGAAATGGTTTCATGGGAAATAGCTTATAGCCCAATCCAGGGGATAACGACAAGTTGAACGGTTTCTTGGTTTAATGGTTTAGTGGTTAGTGGTTTCCAGAGTTCTGCCACAAAGTGTAGGACATGTAGGACTTGCCAACGTACACAACATGCATACATATCTACAGAGACATACAGAGTGGGTTGACATAGGGATGCTTGACAGTGTTCAGGCATGTGTGTATAGTTACATCTAATGTATGTGCGTGTAAGCACATACATGCATAGTGAATCTTTCTACACCCCTATATCTATTTGTCTGTCTATCTGCCTGTCTACTGGATTTGCTTATCTATTTGCCTCTCTTTCCGTCTATCTGTCTCTATCAGTATCTATCTGTATCTTTCTCTATACCTAACTCTATACATGTATATCTCATCCCTTTTCCCATCTGTATATCTATGTCTATATCCGTCTGTATGTTTGTATCTTTTGCTTTCTATCTCTATATATCTAACTCTATCGCTATTTCTATCTCTGTATCTATAGTCCATGTCTATCTCTATACAATACTCTATGTCCACCGCTATATCCATTATTGTTTCTGGCTCTATCACTTTTCTTGACTTCGCCTCTACCTCCACCTCTATCTTTCTCTCTCTCTCTCTCTCGATCTCTCGATCACTCTCGTTCTATCTCTCTCTCCTTCTCTCTCTCTCTCTCATATATCTCTCTGTGACTCGCATCTGCATTTCTCCCTGTCTATGTCTCTCCTTTCCCTCTCTGTATCTCTGTCTCTGTCTGTCTATGTGTCTATCCATCTATCAATCTGTCTATCTATCCGTCTGCATCTACGTCTCTGTACATCTCTAGGTCTTTCTGTTTCTCTGTCTCTCTATCTCTCTACCTCTCCATCTCCATCTATCTATATGTATATCTATATGCCATCTATATCTATCTATCTATCTATCGGTCTCTGTCTCTCTATCTATCCACCTCCGTATGTTTAGCGCTCTCTCTCTCTCTCTGTTTAAATACCATGCTGCCGAAGCGGGGACTCGCCAACCCTGAGTACCATATAAATTGACCCTCAATCGGAAAGGAGCGAATACCGAATGAGAAGTGGGGAGTGGCAAACGCCACGCGATACCAAAAATCTCCCGTCTCAGTACTTGATGCAGTCTGGTTCATGCGCCAGCCGGACGCTTGGCCTGGCAATGTACGTGGGTTGCGCTCGGAAGTCTACTAGGTGACTATTGGCTGAACTGCATGGAGAGCGTGCGAAACTCAATGCCATGCTACCGGCCAGCCCCTTTGCGGCATTGGCATCAGACTCTGTGCCGGCTGCACGTTGCATTCTTACAGGTGATGATGTGCAACGGGATGCCTGTCCGCGACCAGCACCTTGCCCAACATTTTTTGAGCTGAGCTTCACTGCTTGTACAACATGGGCTTCTTCACGGGTGCATTCTAGCAGGCATGGAACACAATTCGACTATTCAGCGCGACCCCATGCGCAGGAAGGGTTTGTTGAGCGCTGAGACACACGGAGCAAGCCGGCCGGGGTTGCAGGGTTGGTGCCGGTCGACTGATATTCTGGCCCCCTTGTCCAGTCCGATCAATTGGGTAGGGTGTGTTTTTTGTCAATCGCTCAATTTGTCTGCGGGTGGAAAATGTCTGCCAGATAGCTCGTTTGCTTATGATTGCCTTTGCAAACTAGGCTCACCTCGCAGCAATCATCGCAGATCGACGAGCTGCTTGTCGGCAAGCCAAAGGCTTTGTGGCAGAACGGGGCTCTTGTGTTTCAGTGATGCATCTCTGACTGCGTGCATGCATGACTGCAGACCACACTCAGTCGCACAGTATTGGTCTCAGTTTTGGTTGGATTCGAATTTCTGTCTGCATAGATACTGATCCCAGTTTCGAAAGTCGAGCATGACACCGGCAACAAAGTGCATTGGCTGCTTCGTTGACAACTGCTGTCCAGGCTTGCGTGCCTCCTGGCGGATCACATCCGCGCAGTCCAGGAGGACAGCTTTTTCATGTCTCAGTCGTGTGTGAATTTTGCCCTTCGACCCGAGGAGGGCCAGGAACTGCACCAACGGAGAAGTGCAGCTCAGGCTGGAGCTCACACAATTCAGCAATCACTCAACTGACCGCAGTGAGCTGCCAGGACCAACTGGAGAAGTTGGAAACCGAACGCACAGGCACCAGTTCCAGAAGCATGATTTCAACGGTATGGAAGCATGTGTCTCTCTCTTGCATCCGGCGTGACACGCTGGCTGCAACTACTGCATGTGCATCATTGGATATCTTCGGAGGGTTGCTTCTATTTCTCTGTCCGGAAGGCATAAGGCTGCTCGGTGGCAGAGCTGCTACGCCCCAAAGTAGCTCTGAAGTGCAGCAACCAGAGGCTTGGAAGCAAGAAGCAGGCAACAGTCAAGACTTGGCCGATGCTGCACGATTCTGTGCACGTCCGCACCGTGCTTAGGACATTGCAGCTCGGCTGACTTGGCCAAGCATGGCTGGGACGTTGGAGCATCGCTTATCGGGGCTCGGGCAGGTCTACTTCAATGCAGCGGGTCGGATCCTGGCCACAAGCCGCGCCACGCTTCTACACTGTCACTCAGCTAAAGACACAGCAGTGCTTCCTGTCCCTGCAGCCGTATGCGTACTGAGCACGTCGGCCAGGTACGGGCTCAATGCTTGAGCGTTGGTTTGGTGCAGAGCTTAGCAGGCGGTGCAACTCGAAGAAAGTCACGACATGTCTGGGTATTCTAGGTGGTGACTGGACACTCCAAGAGAGCGACCTTCTTGGCAACGCGGTGCGGATTGACCAGGACCTTGCCGCCTTGTTGGCATTCCACATCGGAACCCTGTTCGGAAGCACGCCGGAGGACTCCGAGACCTTTGCATCTGTGCTGCAGATTCTGCGATATCATCGCATCTTCGGGCATCGAAGCTCAGACTCCTCGGGGCTCGCAGATCTCTTCCTGATGCTTCAGTCGTTCTGAGGCCGAGCTCTGGGCTGCCCGCTGGGCAGCCCTGCCGAAAGGCCAAGCTCCCGGCGCTGCGGCAGGCCGCCTCCACGAACCCGCTGCCACTGGCTGCCACTTCATTGCTGCCAGGCCTTGTCCTATTTCCAGCTGGAGCAGGTGAAGGGCAACGGAAAAGGCTGCCCCGGATTGAGGCTCCAGCTGTGCTGTTCTCATGTGGAGTGGCAAGATCTTCAGGCTTCAAAGGCAAAGCCTCGCGGAGCGCTTCCGCCTGGTTGCGGCCGGAGTCGTCTCCTGGCTGTGTGTGTGTGTATGTGTATGGCATCAAACGCCGGAGCCTGGAGCCAAGGCTGCACATCCCAAAACGCGAGGAGGTGTGGCGTTGCCCCCCATGTTTGGCAAACGACAAGTGCAAGTGTCAATGCAGGTGTTTGAAGCCTCCTCCGACACGAACAGCCCGGTCAGATGGGAAGTCGCCGTGGAAGTAGCTTTGTGATTCAGCAGTGCGTCAGCTCGACATTCAGGGTTCATCTCCGCAGCTCTAAGCGCGGTCGATCTGAAGGACTGTCATGAGCTCTCTCCATTTGGCCGAGGCTTCTGTAGCAATGAGACAGAGACAGCTGGCACCAGAAACCCCTAAGCCTCTTGTTTGAAGCTTCTGCCGTGCGTGTCACTCTGCTTCTGATCGGGGCTGGAGCAACGCAGAGTCGAGACGAAGCTGACCAGCACATCGATCGTCTAAAGAAGCGAAGAAGCCAGGCAAAAGTTGCACAGCCACCGAAAATCACCGAAACCCTTACTTGGCGCTTAAGCGGCCTGGACTGCTTTGTGTGTTTCCGTGTTTAGTGCAGTGAGAAGGTTCCGCTGCGGAACGCCTCAAGCGCTTGAGGTAGCCCGTAGGCCGGCAGGCCTGCAGCAGTAAAAAAGTTACTGCCCCCCTGCGTTTTCCTCATCATGATGCCCGAGTGGTCTGAAACTCCGGCTTCTGTAAAGTCTTGTTGTCACTGCACGGGTGCACTTATGTCGCCTGCTGCCTGCGACTTGCAGCCAGATCGCCTGCCGTTGAGCCTCGAACTGCTGTCAACTGAAGGCCTTTTTGGACGTGCGTTAGAAGTCGCAGGAGGAAGCCTGAGGAGAGCTCCCGCGGCGAAGGCCAGCGTCCGCGCCATGGCGGGCTCCGCTGTGACCACACAGGGCGACCTGCATGTGCTGCTCGCAGCCTGGCAGAAGAAGTCCGTGGTCTCTTTTCACGGGGAAAAGGTGTCTCTCCCTTGGAGGTGCGGCATGGAGAGAGCCTTAACAATCCGTTGATGGCCAAGATCTTTGGGCCTGTGGCTGACGAGGCCTTGGTACCAGTTGGGAGTAGGAAGCAGTCGCCGCCGACTGTCGCCTCCCATAGTCAAGCAGTGCCGCTCAAGTTACACGTGAATCACAGCAAGAGAGCATGTTTTCGAGCGAGAGCTTTGCCGGTTTTGTGCGCGAGAAAAAGGCGGCGGCCGAAAGGCACCGGCAGAGCATTCTTCGGGCACATGATCTTTCCCTGATTGAGGATCCTGTCTCTCAGCGGCGTCGTGATGCTGAGGCTCCACCCAGAGATTTCACAGCAATGCTGACGACAGGAACCAAGATTCATGTAGAGGCTGCGACTGGTGCATGCAACGCTCAATCCAACTTGGCACGAAGTTTTTTCTCCATGCTTGACATTCACACATGACTTGCAAAGCACGGTCGTGATTTGTTTGGCTTGTCGAAACCGAAAAAACCTCGCCATGTCTGCGAGCCGCTCATGGCCACAGGGCCTGTGAGACATACAGGACATACGCATACACCCACATGTCAATTGACGGCCTCCATGACGCACTCGCCGCAGGCTCGTTGGCTGGCCGAACGTTTTTCGGATCCTGCACTCACCGACAGAGGCAAGTTTACAGGGCTGCGCCATGCAGAATACAGCATGATGGCGGCACCGCGCCTGCATTGCCAAGGCATCCAAGAAGCCGAGGAAGTTGCCAACACCTTGGCGCCAATGCTACGAAGGCACGAGTGGGACGAGGGGAGCCTCACCGCATATTTCACATGCCATTGGAAGGCTAGCTGGAAGCCAGCTGATCAAGATTTTCGTGTCGCCCTTCATGCGAACGTCGCTAGGCTTCAGATTGTCGTGAACTGCAACAGTGCAACTACTCCTCTGTATAGGTTGGTACGTGACAGCCGCCAGATGTCCTGACCAGCCTAGGCTTCAGACAGCCCAGCCATTGGCTCAGGCGGCTCGAGAAGAGTGCTTGATCATCGAGTCGATGTGAAGCTTGCAGGCATGAAAGCACAGGGACTAGCAAGGAGGGTTGCTGGTGTTTCCTGAGCGTGGAGCCGCAGCTGGGCCATCCAATACAAGAAGACATGTATGTCCCGTCTTGCATGCAGCTCGACGGAGCTTCTTGTGTTTTGCAGGCTCTGGGCTCTTCCTGTTCCGTGGAGGTGCGGCCAGATCTCTTCGAGGCGGGTAGCACGCGCGGCATTCCAGTGATCGGTGGGAAGTTCGGGAAATACATACTCTCTGACTCTGGAAGCCTCATGGAACATCATGCAATCTGGAAGCTTGCGGGTGCTGTGCCAGCACACAAATGCTGGGCATGGAGGTTTCAGGCAGGCACAAAGACCATACACAACCTCGAAGCCACGAGGTCGGGGGTGTCTATGTGGAGCGGCTAGGCCGACGGGATGGCCCTGGAGAGTGCTTGACAGCCGAAGAGATTGCCCCTTGCTGGCTTTCGTCCTCTTTCTTGGGATCGGGGATTGGGCGTTCAAGCGGTGCAAGTGGTACGAAAGCAACTTCGCTTCAAAAGCTGAATTCAGATGGCTTCCTTTTGTCTCGCTTCTCCGACGGAGGCTTGCCTCGGGTTCTGCTGCCTCTCGTGAGATCCCCCTCCATGTAGCATGCTACGAAATCATGATCCCCTTGCCGGCTGATGCTCTAAAGTCTGGAGAGAGGAGCTTGGGACGAGCAGGTTTAGTGTCCTACTCTGAATCCTCAGACACAGCACACATCCATGTAATGCATCGAATGTTGAGCTTATAATCTTGCAGTTGATTCCATTTTCTAGCACTCAGAACCTCTGCCTCACTCAAAGCGAGCTGATGCCTAGGAGCAGCATTTCCCGACCTACCGCACCACCAAATTGCCAAAAGATGGTGCAGGTGTGGCTTTGGGCGGTCGAGTGCAATTTCAGCGAAGCATTCAAGGATATGCCTGCTAGGCTGGTACCGGGGCAGCTGGGAGTGCGATAAAGCTGCCCGGCAGCGAGCTGCCGAGATCGCAACATGGCTCCCATGGCTGATGGCTGCCCTACCGGTACTTCGGAGGCCGTTTCCGTGCCATGGCCACAGTCACAGTAAGGCCAAATGGCTTCGGTCAGCAGAGCTGCGCAAGGACGGGAAGACTCTTCACTATTCCACTTCTGTCTGGCGGATTCTTGCACTTTGTAGCAGGACTGTGCTGATGTTGCAGGACGCGATTATCATCGAGTATCGATCTTGTTTCGTCGCCTTCTTTGTACAGCACACGGTTGCAGGGTTTCTTCTGTGCAGGAGCTTATGTGGTATTGGTGATCCACGGCCATTTGATCGACATGCTGCTCAAGGCCCTGCTCGGCATCGTGCCCCAGATGCAATCCGAATCCACCCTCCTGTGAAGCTTCACGGCGACAAGTTGTGCTGTCGCGGTGTAGTCGTGCAAGGTGCGCGCCGCGTCACACGCCATGAGTCGGTCGTAAGATGCTAAGGCTGATGACGGTTCTTCCGATCGCCCTCACACCAACGTCTTCACGGAACGTCCTGTGGCTCCTTGGTTGATTCTTGCACGTTTGCGGGCGTGCGACACTGCCGAGTGTTCAAGGGAGCTGCAGACGCAAGGTTTTCTTCACACCGAATGCAGCAACTGCCCACATCTCGATACGGCGAAATGGCGGAGCTGCTCGGCAAGATATGCTTGTGTTGATTCACGCAGGTTTGATGTCAGCCGAGGGCATCTGCCCAGGACGAGTTTGGCTTGCATTCCTCAGGTTGCGATCCATCACATCGGTCAACGACTTCCTGATCGGAGCAAGCCGAGCAAGCTGTGAAAAAGACTTGGCATCACGTCCAGCAATCTGCATCTTCCGAACAATTGGACGTGCAACGCTCACGCGCAGGGTATCTACCACAGCGGCAGGAACGGCGAGTCATCAGGCTGTTGGGTCTTTGCTTGATATGCCAGTTCGAACACAAGCACGTCTCAGGCCTCCATCCGTTCCCCAGCTAGATCTCGATCAAGTGCAGCCGGGGCCCAGAGAAGCTGTGCAGTATTGGGCCAGTCATTTCCATCAAGTTTCGCACCGGTATTTGGGCGATTGAGGCAACACATAGAGGAAGACGAGCAGGAACAGGAGGAAGAGGTTCGTTTCTCAGCAGCGTGCAGCAACATCGGCAGTTGCTTTGGAGGTGGGGCTGGTACTAGTTACTAGTAGTGGCAGTGCATATGGCTTCTGGGATTTTGGTGGGATTCATGTCGGTTGGACATGCACATGACCTCGCTGTGGTGCTGCTGGGTGCTTCTGTGGATCCACCGGGTGCCCGCTTATGAAACATTCGGCTTTGCAAGACTTTCCTCGCGCTTTGGCCACAAAGTGATCCCCATAGTTTAGCGGATGGATGCAAATAGGGCCCTATAGTTTAACGGATGGATGCAAAGAGGTGGGGCACTGCGCTACACAAACAGATGCAGTCTAGGCATCCAGTGAAAAAGTGCCAGCCGGAACGTGGTTAATGCTGCAGAGTCAGAAGAAAGCGGCACGCCAACTACGGCCAACGATTGATTTCGGTATACCAGAGTAGCAACCTAAAGGCATCCGGCATTCTGGGGCAACCATGGTCCAGAGATTTCAAGACCGTCATGCGCCGAATCCGCTTTGAAAGTGATTGTGTCATCGATGCCCGGTTTGATCGTACTGTCGGCAATGATGTTCGCGGCCAGGTGGAGCAAGAGACGCAGGAGCATGATCGGGATCGGAGCGAGCTCGAAGTCTGTTGCCATATTCCATCTCCAGAGGAGCTGGCACTAGTCTGCTTGTTTTTTGTTTTGCAGGATTGCCACGCCTCGGGACCTGCCTACGCAGGACAAGGGACATCCTGAGTGGAGATATTCGTTTTCATTTGCACGAATGTTAGCTTGTGACACCCTGAGGAGACAGGGAGTCGCTGCCTGAGAGCTTCGGGGGCCTCGGGAGCCAGAGAGCTTCCCAGTCCTAGTTTTCTTCGACAGGCACCACATGTCACGCGAGCTGGGGCCAGGCCGGGCATTGAGCCACTGCCAAGTGGATTGCTCTCAGATCGTAGACGGATTGGATACTAGTGTCGCATCCACAGAACCTGTCACCAATTTGAGCCTTGAATCTTGAGCAAGCTTTCAGCATTGGCAGACGAGATCGGGAAGAGAATCTGTCCTTTAACGATTTCTTGCTTCCATTCACAAGTTCAGTGGCCCGGTCTGCATCGCATGGCATCCCAAAGAAGCGGGATCTGGTTGGAGAACACAGGCTTGAAAACTCACAGGGTGAGCTGACAGATGAAAGAGGTTTCGCGGACGACGGGGAAAGGTGTTTGCTGGGCCAAGTTGGAAGCTGTCAGGCACTGAAATGCCTATGGACCTTGGCACGCCGCGGCTGGACCCTGCGGAGGAGGAATGCTTCCGAAATGAAGCGGTGCAGCGATGCGATTGTTTTTTCCTGGCTTGCTGCTTACTGTCTCAGATATGACATTTCTGTTAAGCAGCTTCACAGAATCGCGCATCAGTTGCGATGTCGAAGGATGACCTCAGACGCATCTTTGATGCTTGTGACAGAGAAGGCACCCTGGACATCTTTGTTGTGCTTGCAGTCGCCACACAGTAGAATTGGGAAAAAAAAATCAGGATGGTGCTGCTAAAGCTGGCTGTTTCAGATTCCGCACTTCCGTCTGATTCTGCAGTTCCAGCTTCTGACAGGTGATGGTACCATGAACAAGCACGCAGCCGAGCTTTCATGAGACAGAGACATTTTGCCGAAGTTGTAACGTTCGTGCTTGCACTCGTGGGGGACCAAAATGCCAGGTGGGAACTCATCCGTCTTTGCCAGGAAAGAGCAGCCCTCAGCACACGCCCAGGGTGCACCGCAGCTTGCTGGTTTCCGCTCCGGGTTGAGATGCATGTCTGCAGGAGTACCCGCCTCAAGAAATGCATCATCCTACCATGTTGTTCCTCTCAGCGTTTTGGATCGTGCCATACATGCAAGGGCCCGCAGTCGCGGACTTCTTCGGAATCCCGCAGCAGGACTCTCGTTATCAGATGTTGGGATCCCCTGCTAAGTCACCTTGAACTAGGCACCGACTCCATGCGTGAGTGCTCGAGTCCACTGTCAATGCATGAGCTCGCAGAGGAGGGAGGGCCCCGCGACATTGTTGAAACGAGGCGTGTTCAACAGCACTTCTGAGCGCTGCAAACTGCACAGCTGCGACAAACACTATTGCGGCAGTTTGCACCCTGCCCCCTTCTGTGTCAGGTTCCGAAGCTTGGAAGCAACTGCTGACAACAAGGCACTGGCTTCGCCGCTTCTTGTACGAGCAGGGTCCGAGTCCGAGTTGCTTCTGTGACAGGTCAATTGGGATGAGCTTGGTGCTCAGCGGTCCTGCAAGCTCTGCAGGCTCATTGTCAGCCACAGCGAACATGAGCACCTCAATCCACTCAGGTTTCTGGACTGGTATGTTTACGAACTGCAGTCGAGAGCCCAAGTGGTCAAGGGAAAGAAGCATCTTGAACATCTTCGCAAGCCTACTCGTAGTATCACCATGCTGTCGCCACTGCAGGCTGATCGAGGCCAGAGCTCAGGCGTGAATCGCTGAAGCTATCGGCCGCAGTCGGTGAAGTTTCACGTCAAGGCGGCTAAGAAATTTGGCTGCCGTTTGCAGAATGATGTGGGTGCCTGACGTAACGCTTGCTGTGAGAGGAAGGATGTAAGGATGAGAATGTAATACCAAACATCTAGCTTGGAGTTTCCACAAACAGCAACTTCTCTGCTGGCCTCCCTGTACACTACCTGCACGCAGAAGTTCATCGGAACTTAAGGATGCCAGGATCACATGGAGTGAGAAGCAAACTTGTAGTTGCCGGACAAGTTCCACGAAAGTCTGCGACTCATCACAACGAGCTTGCAAGCTGACAGTGTCTGCTACGACAAACAGGTGTTGTCTCGTAGATGGAATGCCCGAGTGCGGCAAACTGACTTAAGGCATATGAAGTCAAAACTTGCGGGTTTCGTTGGTTGTCGTACATGTGTCCAGCCTTGACACAGCCGGTACACAGGGCCATCCGCAAGGTCACAAGTGGATCCCTGTTCACATTTTCGGATTGATTGGTCTGGAAAGACGTACTAGGTGCTGCCAAGCTGGACATCGCCAAATTCATGAGAAAAGAAGCGATCCGAGCACTCGGATTGCAGACGGGTCTCAGCAAAGAGGGTGTCCTTGAGCTTTTGCGCCCGACATCTTTCAGAGGGGGAGTTTGCGCATTCTTCTTTGCCTAACGACTGCGACCTCGACTCGCCTGGCTTGGCTTACAGCTTTCGCGGCTCCGGTGAGAGCGGCTCCGGTGACTGCAGCTCCCCAGGCTGGGGCCGCGGCATAGAACACCGCAGCGCCTACCACTACGAGTCACGGTCAGCTTCATGCTGACCACTGCCACGCTGATGTTTGCAAAGTTTTCTAAGCTGTGCCGCTTAGTCGCTGCGACACTTCACATGAACTGCAAGCTGAAGAATTGTCAAGAGTTTGGAAGCGTTTGAGAGTTGTTGGCGAGGCCGCTCCAATCGGCCTGGCCGTGTGCCTCTCGGTGACTTCTGAAGCTGTGAGTGAGTGGCTGCGAGCGCCGGAGCAGTGGTAGACTACAAGCCATGTAAGTAGACCCATCGGCACGGCCTGGGTCAAATTGATTGCAGGTCAGGTCGTGCATGTTCTCCTCATTTCTCGAAGCTGCTTTCAGTTCTGCTTGTACGCATCTGACCGCTTGCCGCGGAGCCATGGCACGAAAGCTTCTGGCATTCTTGGCCCCGGGCGTGGGTGTGTGGGCCACCTGCCCAGGTGGCTCCTCGTGGCTCCCAGAACTCATGCATTTTGCCGAAACGGCCACTGCTTGAATGCAGGTCTTCCCTTCACCACTGTTCCGGAGAATTATGCTGCAGTGCCCGAGTTGCCTGTCGCTCTGCCGCAGAATGTTTTCATGTGCAAAGGCAAAGCTTTCTTTGGAACCTGCCTACTTGTGGGAAGTGTCCTGGATCCGAAGCTTTGCCTTTCGTGGACTTTGCAGTGGATGTATTCCTCCTGCGCATAAAAATACACCGAGGTCTACGATTCGGCGCTGAAGGCATTGGACCTGAAGGCAATCACCCGTCTCCTCTGTGTTTAAGCACAGTGCCCAGGGCTCAGGCTTGAGGACGGCAACCTGCTGTGGAGAACAGGCTGTCGTCACGGACCTGCAGAAGCTCTTCGTGAATTCCCAGGTGCCTGTTCCAGTTATCAGACATCACGCACCGCTGCTCTAGACTCTCTGCGATCCACCAGGATTGCTGGCCCGCAGACTTCGGAAACTATGGTCCTCTGTTTGTTCGCATGCCGGCAGCGACATGATCTGCGCTGCCATCCTTGTGCAAGAGAGGAGTGAGATCGGACCACCCAAATCAAAGGCTTGGCTTGGCATTGCTCGGGCAGCTGGCGGGAGACTGATGGGTGAGGGGCTCAGCGAGAAAGGCACACATTGATAAACGGCCTGCAGCTATGGAGTGCACTGAACCCGACGGTATCACCAGGCGTGGGGGCTGTGCCGGTGGCAGGCAGCGCTTCGAACCAGCATATGCCCCAGCGACGGAAGATTTGAACATCATGTCCCGGCTTCGGTCCCAGGAGCGAAGCTGGGCCGACAACACGAACTTGGACAAGGCCAGGGCACTGCTGTGGCCGGTCAAGGAGAAGCCACTCGTCTGCACTTGCGGCGCATAGTGGGTGAACAGCCGCACGCGAACAGCTGTAGGAGGTATATGGCTGAGTTGTATCGTCGCGTGCTGTGAGCATTGTGCGGTCAGCGTCGATCCGCAACGGGCTTTGATGGTAGTGCATGGTGGGACTAGGGCGGAACAAGCTAGGTATGGCGATGGTCTCAGCTGGGGAGACCTTTTCACGTTGGCCAGGGCCTCAGTGCTGATCGTGTTGCTGTGAACTCCTGGTCTGGGCTCGCTCGAAGGCAAGCCAAACCAGAATCACGAAGTTCCAAAAGGGATCAGCACTGACGATTCATGGCTTCATCGTAAGTTGTTTGTTGCCCACCTTCGTCATGGGCTGGTCCAGCTTCAGTTTCCCACGATCGCCCCCTTTCTGCTCCGGGACTTTGTTTCTGGAATTGTTGGTGGATTCTTCTCCTGTGACCTATCCGGACCTATCCGGTTCTTAGATTTCTAAGCCTGTCCTCGCTGGCCTTGCACCCAGCCTATGGACTCGGTCTGTTTTTTCCGGTTGATTTCTCGCAGCTCTCAGATGCGCCCTTTCTTTCCCTGACCGAAGGAAACCTTCAGTCCGGCCCGCGGTCTGCACCGAGCTACCGTTGCAAAACAGAGAGTGTATCCAGCTGCATCATCTGCATGCTACGTGCATGTGCGTGCCCATGCCGGGACTTAACCGACTAGAGCGTCTGAAAACCTTTTTCCACGACGTGACCCTGTCCTTTTCGGTGACGGCCCCACTCCAGCGCTTCGTCGGGCAGCAGGGAGGTCTCGCACCGTGGCATCGAAAGCTCTCTCCTGCTGTCGTGATGCCTGGCACTGCCGTCTGACACGGGCGTGTGGTCCGGGCATGCCTCCAACGCCGCCTGTTGTTGACGAGCCCGACTGCGGCCTCGAGACGTGAGCTTCCAAAGAATGGAAAAACGTGTGTCGCGCACATGTGTGCGCAGAACATGCGCAAAGGACATGCCCGTCGCAGAAGCATCGATTTAAGCCGTTGCCCAACTTCTGCGCCCTAGAGCCTCAGACCTTAATTACCGTGGGTGGACGGCGATCCGAACGGCACGGAAACGAGTTCAAACTGCATACCGGCTCCGGCTCGTCGGTTTCAGCTTCGGTGTAACATCGGGTCGAGTGCGAGGCTGCGAGCATGTTGGCGAGTTGCCGGTCTGCATTCAGCACTGTCACGCCGTGCCTGCTGTTGTACAGTGAGTGTTAGGAGTGCCAAGACCTGTCATGTATACTGGAGGAGACACATCCTACCAGAAGTAGTCAGTCAAACTGGTCGGAAAATGTTGCTCCGCACTGTCTCCCAGCCCTTGCTCATATTGAACACTTGATGAAGGCCGGTACCACTGCCATCAAGACCATGGGCGGGCCCATTTCGCAGTACTGCGCGGGGCGCATCGATTCACCAGACGGTGCCGAGGGTTCAACACACGGATTTGAATCGGAACATCGCGGTGCAAGCAGAATGACAATCTTTGTGGCGCAGGCACAGACAGCCTTGATCTAGGTCCTAGCCCTGAACAGGCACGACTCTGTTGCTTTCTTGCTGCAAATCCTGGCATGCACTCAAACGTTTGGCTTGCTCTTCAGACTCAACTCGCAAGGAGCGGTATGCTCCGTGCGCGGTGAACGGCACCTGCGAGCGACCATTGGGGAGTACCACGGTTCCTTGCCCAAAAGGCAGTCAGTCAGTGTGAGCGCAGAGGAGCACGCATCAGGTTGGTCTGATCTACCTCAACCCAGAAGGTGTGCGGGGCATTATATAGCTACTTGCCCGCTTGCCTTGTTCGGCTCGGCAATAAAACACTCTGGGAGGCCCTGTTGCAAAGCAGCCAGATGGGAGCTGGGCTCCAAACCCGGACCCCAAGGCACCGTCCGGTCCGGATAGGAAGTTGTGCTCCAAATCGCTTCAAGCTGATGCACTTGCGATCGCGCTGTCGTCGAAGGCCTCGGCCCGCGACGTGCGCGATGCCTTCGGCAGAATGGGAATGAACGACACGCAGACCGCGGCTGGGAACGGAATGCTATGCGAGTCTTCGTGGGTTCAGACTTGTCTGCCACAGCAGAATCAAAAGAAGCTGAGGTGGCTCTCATTGGGGGTGGTCATGCCTTTGGAAAGAGCCACGGTGCATGCACCGCGGGACCTGGCCCTGCTCCTCTTGAGGCGGCACACAGTGTTGGGGACGTTGACCTTGAACCATTCCAGATGTGCGCCGTAAGTCGAAAGACTTCGGGAAATCTCAAGGAGACGACAGCTGAAAATGCTGCCAGGACGTCAACAACCCCTGGCCGGGAAAGTGTGGAACTGGAAAGGGGCGCCTGCCTCGAAATAGCCGCGGAGCTTCTCACAACTTGTCGCTGTTGTTCCTTTCGTCTGGTGTGTCTGCGATACAAGTACTTGCGAGGGCGGACACCTTCACCAGTGGCGCCCTGCTTTCAACTGGGTGAGCTGTCCTTGTAGACCGGACTGGCACGCGAATCTCAACTAGGCATGGAGGGCCCCTGGACGACGAATCCCACAAAATGGGCCTCAGACTTGGAGGTGACCAGGCGGCAGGGACAGATGAGGAGAGAGTTCGGACTGCAGGACAACGAGTACTTCGTCATGCTACTGAACCGCACATGGGAGAAGTTCACAGGAGCGACTTCTTTTTTCCTCGGAGAGTCCAAGGCATCAGGGGGGCCGTGGGGCATAGCGGGGCCATGTGCCAGGCCCCGGTGGACATTGGCAATGGCGCGTGAAAGGGGCGGCTGCCGATGAGGCCAAGCTGATGAGGCGAGATATGGCTGAAGTGCAAGAGCCAGGGCGCATGAAAGTAGGGCCCATGTCTAAACTTGC